TTGTTCCTTTTTTTTGCGCGTGTATTATATACGATCCTCGCCGCTGCCGCTGTCAACGCGTGAAAATAATCTTTAAAAAAATATATATATGTAAGACGCGCACACATATTCTCGGTTACGTTTTCAGACGAAAATAATCGCGGCATCCACATCCACACACGAGTACTTCAGGCGCATACCTACGTTGCGAAAATTACATGCGGTTATGTTCTTTGTAGCTATGTATGTAGGATATATATTCCCAGTCTGACGCGACGAGTTTCCTTACTCTACGTTATAACTTCCATAGCTCGAGCTGCGCGCGCGGAGCATGTATGCACCTCGGCTCGGAGTTGTTGAGGTCACGATGTTTTTACCTTCTCCTTTACTCTCTCTCTCTCTTTCCTTCTATCTCTCTCTCTCTCTCTCTCTCTCTCTCTCTCTCTCTCTGCGTTATACCTTTTTCCCGTCGAGGTTTTTCGTATACTACACATATACAGACACAGAACTCGACGCGCGAGTAACTCGCGGCTGCGGCGCGCAATTATACGTTTGCGCGCGTTCCAGCCCAAGAGAACTCGCATACATACACACACACCATACGGCGTATATATGTACGTAGCATACGGTGTAATCGCGGACGAGAAAAAATCATATATATCGTAAAAACGCACTCGAAGAAAGAAAGAGAGAGAGAGAAATATGGACGAGTGGAGGATTCACGTCTGATTGCGCTCACACATATCTTTGCCTTGATCTCTGCACGAGAGATCAATGAAAAAACGTATAAAGAAAATTCGATCCGAGGAAAGCTCGATGGCAGAGCTGATCTTTTTTTCTCTTCTCTCTTTAATTATAACGAGCTCTAACTACGCCGCTGTACACATGCCGCTCGGAAGTGTACAGCTTCTTGCGACTATAAAAGTTTGCTGTATAATATGATAAACGACGACGACGAGGAGCGCACGTAAATGCGTAATGGTTAAATTGACGCGCGCCGCGCGCGACTGCACAATGCCTGCTGCTATGCCACATGCGCGGAGGAAATTTATTATTCCGAATTGTTTACTCGTAATATTCCCTTCGCCGCCGCGCGGAGCTTATTAAAAAACTCTTTTTTTTCTCAAGTTCACGTGCGCGCGCACACGGTATACAACGCACGTAATAATATAATAATGCAGAAAATATCGCGAGCAGACACGCTATCCGTATCACGGCGCACGGTCTTGTGCCGCAGTGCACAGCAAAAATTAATATACAATGTATACGTGTACATAAGCTCGATATACTTGTCTGACTGCGCTCGTGTGGCTGTGTACGCGCGTGTGTGTGTGTGTGAGCAAAAGCACACACAAGCCCTTAATTGGCTAAGAAAACGAGTATATGAGCATATAACACATAGAAAAGAAGAGAGACGCCGCCACGCTTGGGACTACTCTCTACCTCGGGACGACTATATGTGTACTATACCCGTCGTCGTCGGCGTCGCGGGAAGCGTACGGGACCTGCGAACGTGCCTTCTTGCCCCGTTGAGCCTCTCTGTATACTGCGCGCTGCATAGTACCATACATACCTATATATGTAAAAAGGTACTCTGCGTGCGTGCGTGCGTGCCAGCAATATATACCTGTTGCTCGAGCCCCGACGCAGCCAAGAGGAGGAGGATATAGCTCTAACGCGATGCGTTGCTGCTGCTCTTGCAAGTCCTCTCTTTTCTTTTCTCTCTCTTCGCGTCTGTGTTTACACGCTTAACGTGTATTATATACGCTTTTGTATTTTAAAGTATAGAAGTAACGACGACTATGCGCCACCCGAATTAACGTATTTAAAGCTCGAAGCTTATTATTTTTCTTTAAAAATATTATCTTCTTCCGATGTGATATGTGCTTAGGAGATCGGCGCCCGAGCTCGTTTAAAAAATCTACCTCGTATTAGCTCTCTCGTATAAAAAAGTGAGCCGACCGCAATGAAAATTAATTTTTATAGACGATCTCGACTATAAACGAGATATGACACACGGTCGAGCTTGTCGGTAGATTATGCAGCAGCTGAAAAAGAATACCGAGAGGAACGAAATAAATAAAGAATCGGACGAAATTTTTTAATTAGTATTATCGCTATTCGGCTCCGAGCTATAGTAAATGTAAACAAAAACACACGAATGACAATTTTTTTTAAAGGCTCTCGCGCGACCGATCGAGTAGACAACGACGACGAGGAAAAAGAGAGTAGCAAACGCGTTAACGGTAAAAACAAGTTCATTTGTATCTATATACACACAAGCATATACACACACACGTACGCCTCGCGCGAAACGAGACGAATTTGCGCACGAGCTTTGCTAATTAAAAGCAGTGACGAAGCCCCTGCCATGCGTATACGTATACTTAATACACAAAAAGAAAGAAAAGAAAAGAAGAAAAGAAAAGGATTGAGTCTCGACGACGAAGAGCTGAATCTTCTTTAACGCGTGGAATTACGAGGGAGAAAAGGAGTCAACAACGCGCCGAATTTGTTTATAGGACGACTCCTCGTGTATTTTCTAGATTATCGACCGACGACCGCGACGACTCGGATATCGAGAGTAAACAAGCCGCGAACATTTGGGCCTTTTCCGAAACGAGCCATTTATTTTCCACGCCCGCATCATCGTTATCGAAAAATTCTAAATCTCGCCTCAAAGGATGCGCTATATTATTACGGGCGTCACACAATGAGCTATATCTATAGTCGCGCGGCATCGAAAAGTGAACGTCATCGGGACTTGAATGCGCGCATACGCATATCATATACCTAACGCGCGCGCGGAAAAACTTGGGTCACTGCTGCTATACGCTCGTGCAGTAAATAATATGCAGATATACGCACACGTATATATATAATATATGCTACTCAATCGCGGGCTTGTGTTCGCGCGCGCGTCGACTAATAGTGTACGAGTATAGGAGAGTTCCCCACCATTTTTCTTTCATCTTTTTTTTCTTCTTCTTTTTTTCGAAGGTGGGAACCAACCAACAGGTCTCCGCAAGGTGGGAGGATTGAGGTAGTAGCAGCAGCGGACATTAGACACGGTTTGGCGCACATACGAGGTTACACACAGACAGATACACACACACACACACACACAGGTAGAAAGGCAGCGCAGCGCAGCACATATTTATAAATCTATTTATAGTTGCATAACGCGCGTCGCGCGCGCACATACACATACACACACACACACCTTGGCCTTGACTTTGGCACACAGCACAGTTACCCATGCACCTGAGAATAGGAGAAAAAGTATAATATATTGTATCGCGATATCGCGAGCCATTTAACGGCTGCATGAATGAGTTCTTTATTTATTGTTAGTATTTTTACGTTTATGAAGAGTGGATGAGAAGATTTTTTTTGTTGAACGATGTAGTGAACTATTGATTAAACGAGACAGGTACAAATCTTTGAAGGAAGAGTACGCTTTTTATGCTGCTATTGTGGGCTCGAATTGTTGATAAAAATTTAACAAATTATAATCTAATTGCACCTCGTTGATTAGGTATTTTGAGTGTTTTTTAATTTTTTTATTACGCCGCACCTAGCAGGCCACTCCGAAGGCGTTTCCCTGTCTTCGTCGGATTTCAATTCAGAGCACGTTAAAAACTCCATCTGCTTATGGGCCAATCATTGTATTTCCAATTCGACTATTTAAGGAAAAATCGAATCCGCTTCATGCGTGGGCGGCGCCGTTTATTCTTTTGGGATAACTGGATAATGTGTCGAAAAGCGAAAGTGGGCTTTGATCAAATCCAAAATCAACGAGAACATAGTCAAAAGAAGCATAATAGATGTGAACAATGGAAAAGTGAGAGGTGGGGGTGTGTAATTAATAAGCATTATACGATGAAACGAAGCATTTTCTTTTATTGATTCGGAAGTTTTCGAACACATCATACTTTCTTTATCACTGTTGGATCAAAATCATGCATCAAAACCATGAATTATTAATTAGGTACTGTAATAATTTATCTTGTTTTATAATATATTTACCCTGTATGTAATACAACCCTGGTAGAAATTATCGACATTAGATTAATTTCAATCACTTTGAATACGATAATACCACTTCGAGCTCCCTCCACTAGATGGCGAGTACCGAATAATTTGTAAATCTGCAAGTGGCAAAGTCGAAATAATTGTATAAATCAAAGTACGAATTTAAAAAAATTTATCTGAATCTCGTACTAAGTGGATAAAGGTTAACAATATGTAGTGGTGAATTTTACTGGCTATGTCTATCTTTATTTGGCTGCTTATTCTTCTACCATCTTTTAAAATGGTCTAGCACACGAATATAAATAATTTCGATACGAGTAACTAAGCAATTGTTCTTTAATAAACAGTGAACCGCGTGGCATAATACCTAGTAATAGGGGAGTTTGCGAATTATTCTATATAGTTTCGCGATTCGCAGCTCGGTGGCGCTCGAGCCTTACACATCTCTCTCTCTCTCTCTCTTTTCTCAGTCAGGCCCCGCCGCGGAGCGCAGCGGTATAATATTGCGAATCGTGCATTCGTACAGGCTCGCCTCGCTTCGCGCGGCGCACATATTATAGCGCACAGACACATACTTACCCACACATATATACGGAATGAGAAAGGCAGGCAACAGGTAAAGAGAGAGAGAGAGAGAGAGAGAAAGAAGAAGAGAGTAATAAAGAAGACGGCAAAGAAGAAGAAGTAGAGGTAGAAGGAGTCCCGCGCGCGTCATCGTGCGCTCCGTGCTCCGTGCATGCAGCACGAGGCTTACTCACACACACACACACACGAAACACTCGCACACATTGCGGAGAGCCTTTATTACCGTGCGCGAAAGAGAGACGGAGCGAAAATCCCCGTACAATGTACACTATATCCCACTACCACTTGACCGTTCTTTATGCCGCGCGCTTCGTCGCTCTCCGCTGCCGTTGCCGCCGCTGCTCCTCCGGGCTCTCGGATCCGTGCGAACTTTCCTCGGCAGTCACCAGTCGTGCCTCTGAGCTCATAACGGTTACACGCGCGCCGCGCACCGCTGCCAAGAGAGGCGAGAACTGCGAAAAACGAATGTATCGCGCAAGCCGCCCCGCGCGCACAGCCGAGTAAGCAGTGTGTTTGTGGGTTGGTGCGTTGGTGTCCTTCTGTACTTTAATCAACGCCGTGCCGCACACTTAAAAAGAAAAATAGTTGTTTGTGAATTTTTTTTCTGGTTATTTCGTTATTGCATTTACTTTGCATCGATACGATCGGTACATGTATTTGCGGAATTTTTATACCTGTCGACGTAGACGTGAAAGAGACAAAGAAGCCTCCGTACGACGATAACAGCGGCAAGAAGCAGCAGCAGCAGCAGAAAATTTAAAAGACTCGTGAACTTGTGTGCTTCGTTGTTGTTGTTGTTTGTTTGTTTTTTCTTTTTCATTCATAAATAATACTGAAACGATACCTCGTACGGTGAATGGTTTTGGTCATTCGCCGAAATGACTTAGTGCCTCTCAGACGACATTTGTAGTAGTTTTTAAAGAAGAGAGAAAAAAAGGAAAAAAAAAATCATCGAGAAAAAGTTCGAAGCAAGTATATAACTACGCATCTCCGCCACCTTCGCCAAGATGCCGAAGATATTCTTGATCAAGGACCGGCTGCTCAAGCAGCAGGCGAGATTGGAGAACAATCAGAATCCGGACAAGTTGCACCACGCCGCCTCGACGCCGGGCGCACTGAGCATTCCCGGCGCCTCGGCCTTCTACGACGAGCCGCTCGAGCTCTGCGTGAGAAAAATACAAAGTGAGTTTTTCGCAATAACTGCTACCACTATTTCTCGTTTCGCACGTAAATACGCACGCATTATGTATGTATATATAAGAGAACCAAACTGAATGTATGTGTTGGCCTTTCATTCGGGAATCGGAGAGAGATGTGTAGCACGCGTTCACATCGATTTTAATATTATATTTGCCTGCGGCGGTCCCGTTATTATTAGCAGCAGCCTTTTTTCCTTCAATTCGTATACACGACAACGCGTAGTTTTTCGTAGTAAATAAAGAGAAGCACGAAGAAAGAGAGTCGACGTTTCCTCGTATTCTCTCTCTCTCTGCGTTCACTTGTATTGTATGCGAAAAGTGACAATTGATCCCCGCGCGCATACTTATCTTGAAGCATATCGATTTCGTCACATCTTGTACGCATAGGTATTTGTTGACTTTATCTCGCTGCCCGATGTGATATATCCTCCGACGAGTGGATTATATTATATAGTTTTGTCCCAGGCCGCGCGCATTCAACAGGTGTCCGCGCCTCGGTACGTACATACGTACAATCGTAAACGTCCGTTCGCCTAAAAGCAAAGCAGCAAAAGCAAAAAAAAAATCTAAGAAACGAATCGTTGACGGGGGCGAGTGGTGCACGCGCGTACGTATTTATATCTTACGCACTCGGCTCGCTAATACAAAAGGTTTTGATAATTTTTTTTTCGGGGCATTATTGCGCGTGTGCTGCTGCTGCTGCACAGGTTCTCCTCATTTGCAGGTGCTCTGTGCGCGCACGAGGCACATTTCTGACAAGTGCCCACAGTGTAGTTACATACATACATACATTTAGGGTACATAGGCTGCATGTGCCATGTAGTATATAAATGTGCAGGTGCTTGGTTTTTCGGGGCTGCTGCTGCTCTCCGAGTTAGCGCCGCGTGCAAAACATTACTTACTCACTCTCTCTCTTTGAGCTAAGCTTATTTTGTTCGGGACAGGTTTTTGCACTGCTTAGAGAGGTGTACACCCGGATCGAGTGCTTCACTTAAATATACTTACTCTATATACCTGCTCCTTTATTTTTTTTTAGTCTCTCTCTCTCTCTCTTACTCTTTCGGCTCTTCTCCCTCGCGCGCGAGTCGAAAAGTCTCGGGCGCGTAGGACGACCGATGCAGCTTGCATGATCATACCCGCAGTACGCGCCGATGTAATTTAAGGGCAAAGCAAAGCAGCAAGTGGCTAAGTTTTATTCCACGCGCGCGCGCGCGCGCGATATACCTTCCGACAGCCGAAAAAAATAAAAGTGTATAGGGTTACTTCTAAAAAAAAAAGAAACGATAAGACTTGGCCCGATGTGCGAAAGGTGCAGTGCAGTACACACTTGTTGCTGCTGCTGCTGCCGCGTGCCGTATATTTCTAAGCTTATTATCGCACACCAGCGCGGCGGCATTATAATCGAGTACATCGCACTCGTGCCGCAGATTGCGTTACTGCGCGCATACACACATCGAGGCTCTCTTACATTATTAGTGCTGCGCGCAGCTCGGCACGTGTGTGTGTGTATTATATCTACGTTTCTTTGTCGATCACGACTGCTGCCCCTCGGCTGCTCTCGCTCGATTCGCAACAAATCTCTCTCTCTCTCTCTCTCTCTCTCTCTCTCTCTCTCTCGTGTTTATAATCTTTCTATCTCTTTCTATGCGCGCGTTTGTGTTCCTTTCTTCGCCTTCGCCTCGTCTTCTTCGTTCTTTTTTTGCACTGGTCGTTAATTACTCTTTTTCGTTACGTAAACGCGCTCGCCTCGTTCGTGTATATATTTTATTATTCGGAATGGTAGCTTAAGCTTTGGCGCGCGAGAGACAAGCGAAGAAGAAAAAAAAGATGTGTACGCATAATTCTAATACCATTCGAACGCCAACAGCTATTGCTATATATATATTTGCTCCCGAGCAACGGTAAAATGAGTAATCTCTCTCTTTTTTTTCGTACAATGAGAAAAAACAGTTTTCACCTATATATACCTTGCCAAATGTATTATAAGAATGCACGCGTTTATACACAGCTAGTTTTTCAAAATAGACGCAGAAAAAAGGAGGAAGAAGCAAGAAGAAAAAAAATTGTCCGAAAAAGCATGAAAAAATAAAAAAGGCAGTTTTATGTATGTGTATGCACGCGTAGGCCGAAAAAGGGAGCTATATAGGAGAAAGAAGTAGGAAAAAAAGGAACGGAGAAAGAGAGAGAAGTTTTTGTGCTTTGAGAAACCACAAACCCATTATCCGATCTCCTCGCATTGAAACGCAGTAAGGAGAGAGAGAGAACGAGATTTTTTCTCTCTGTCTCTCGGAGTAAGCAACACCGACGAAACGTACATGTGTGTATGTGTATGCGTAAGCGTATAAATATACGCATACCTGTACGCATACAAGCATAGCTATACACGTATGTAGCAGAGAGAGATACCTGTTGAATGAGATATGGAGAATTGCGGGATCGGAGCGCACGGGGTACCCTTATACACACACACACACACACACACACACACACACACACACACACACACACACACACACACGCGGACACATAATATATCCCTCTATATATACCGTATGTATTTTTACGCGTAGGAGAGCCCAAAACCTATAGGGCAAATAATGTAACAAAAAGCTGAAAACGGAGCGGAGACACACAGAGACTCTTGCGCGCGTAGAAAGATGCAAAGAAAGAAAGGTACATCGCTGCGAAAACGTATATGTAGGTTTTTCCGAACGAGGCATTTTTAAATAATAACAACAATAATAATGATTTGTATAATACCGCGAATTGTCCGGCGAGCGACCGTTATGTGTTGTGTGTATACGCATAATACGTATGGGTGACCACGTATAGTCTCGATTATCCTTTGCAGATATGCATCGAACGCGCGCGCACGTGGGGCTGATCTTTTTTTTTTTTTTTGCTTTCCTTCTCTTCTCTATTACTTATTATATTACCGTGTGCACTTGCCGCACCGCACGAAATGTGGGCTCGGTCGCATATTTTACAAGCACATTATAATACATATAGCAATGGTAGTAGTCGTAGCAGTAGCTCGGTGGAATGCGCGCTTCCATCAATATTCATACATACATTACACAGTCGAATGCGCGCAAATATTAATAAAAGAAGAAAAAAAAAAAACGCCGCGCCGAGTTAGAGAGAGAGGAGGGACCTTGTTGCTAGCAGCTCCTCGTTGTTTGTTGCTGCTGCAGCGGCCCCGGCACGTTTGTGTGTACGAAATGAAGGTTAATTCCGTTGTTGCGTTTCGTGCGCTACTACTAACTATCTAACTACTACTACGTTGTGTTACGTGTTGTATATATATACAAAGCTAACGGATTCGTTGCGCAAAAAAAAAGTGAGTGAGTGAGCGAGCGAACGAGAGAGAAAAATAGCATATAGCTTTCGTTGGTGGACTCGACCCGATGCGATGCACTCGTAATCTATGCAGCTGATGTGTACAAATTATAAAATCACCCTATCTATATACGCGCGTCGATTCACCTCTTCTAACTATAGTTGCACTCACAACGAGAAATACCAGATTCGCGTATAATATTATGCGCTCGTGTATATATATACCTGCCTGCCTGGCGCACAGGTATACACACAAGCACACATATTTATAGCGGAAGTTGGGAAGCGGGTAAGCGCAGCGTAGCGCGGCGAGTCGTTTTCCTCTTGCACTTGATACACAGTTTGCCTTCACTTTTGTTCGTCGACTGACGGACTGTAATAATAGAGATGGAAAAAAAATAAATAATAAACAAACGAATAAATAAAACAGGGACACGCGCTATACTCGTGTCGATGCGGTCGTATAATACGTCAACGTAAAAAAGATTGAATGGGATAAAAAGCTGATGAAGCGATAGATATAGGCCCATTCACACTTTTGTGGATCATTAGAGACCGGAAAAATCATCTTAACGGATTACAGCTATACTTGTCTCTTTGACACTCTCTCTCTTCTACACGCGCCACCTTATCCGATCGTTATACCGCACGTCTCTCGTTCAAATATATATATCTGTCTTCGACGCTATAAGCACCTGTCATCGTCGATCCGATCTCACAATCGACGTATGTGCGCTACGCGTGACCTCTGCGTGCAATACGCGCAGGTGTATTCTAGTAGTAGTAAAAATCCGATCGAGATGTATCGTTCAATGCCATCATTGTCATGCAAAAATCCAGAAGCCAGGAAACTCTCTTTTTCAATATATATATCACACACACGCGCGCGCACACGTACACACATAATGATTTATGCAACTCGGCCTAACGGTCTTGTTTATACTCAAGCGCGCTCGCAGAAAAGAAATGTCATTGATGTCGAATACATTATAATATAATCGGAGCTCGGTCGCGCGCGCGCGACACGGGGACACTACACGCGGCCATTACAAATTTTCGCCGCCGCCTCGCGAAATGTATTTTTATATACGTGTGTCTCTCTCTCTGCTGTGTGCGCCGTCAATTTAACCGTGAACGGAGTTCATGCGTGTGTGTATATATATACGTGTGTGGACTTGATACATTATTCAGAATCCGTACGTGATTACGCGTCGCGCTCGCAGCGGAGAGCTGCACGTTATGTGCGCCGAATGAAGCAAGAGGACCCTGACCGAAATTCTACTTTGGAGCCAAGTGCAGCAGTAGCAGCGATTCCTGCAGCGCTTACAGTATACTTATATACTCGCGCAGCAGCAACACACGTATATCCTTTTATAAAAATTTAACCAACTCAAGGCGACTCGACGCGAAGAGTAAAAATGTGTATATATATAAAGCCCATGCCTGAGAGGAGAGATATATACTCTCTCTCGTCGTCGTCGTCGTCGTCGTCATTGCGAAACTTCGGACTTTGCGTTTGAGCGAAAATATATATGTATCGTTACTTTCTTCTTTCCTTCGCATATGTATACGATTCGCATGCTGGGTCGGACCCGATCGTAATATATACGAGCTCGAGCGAGCCGCTCGATTGCCGCTGCCGAGCGAAAACAAGGAGCAGAAAGATTAAATTGTGTAACCTTGTTCCCTACTCGCGCGCGCGCCTTCCTTTTGTTTCGTCTCGAATCTCTCTCGAGGGAGAGAGAGAGAGAGAGAGAGATTTATATTTCAAGCGGTTTCTGCGTAATCAATTAAAGAATCGCGAAATTAAAATTGACTCCTTGCGAGCAATTGTACGACCCACAGCAGCAGTACGGAGGAAAGCTATAAACAATAATTCGTGCCTTCGATAACGAACCATACGTCCGCGCGCGTATATATTTCATGCGCGATGGTCAAAATATATTCATCGGATGCGTTTCGTTACGTTATGGTACTTTTCTTCGACTCTCTTTTGCAAGACTTTTGAGAGATTGTGCCCAGCAGCAGCATGCGTGCGAGCGTGCACGAATATCGTCGTCGGAGCTCTTCTTGAGGCCCCCGACGATCGTCTTTCACGAATTTTTTTTTCTTCATGTATACTGTATATTGTGCGCCGATGTGTGCGAAAGTTTTTTCCACGCTCGCCGCACAAATAAAAAAAAGCGACGACGACGACGATGACGACCGCGATTGGAAACCGAGAAAGAGAGACAGACAGAGAAAGACTCCGTTTTGTCGAAGTTATGCAAGCAAATTTTTGGTTTCTGCGGGGTTGGATATCTCTTCTTTCTTTCTTTGGTTCTTTCCTTTTTTTATGCTCTCTCTCTATTTCCTCTGGACGAGCTAATGAAGCTAAGAAATTTGATACGAACCAATTTGCAGAAAGAGAGCCTCGAGCCGCGTATAGTAGAACTTTTTAAATAACATATAGATCTCTTAATGAACCGTTTGAGAGCGCAGCTCCCTTTTTACGACGTTGTATATTTACATAAAAATCACTCAAACGCCTTGGTTATTAACTTTTTTGACGTAAGAAAATCTTTTTTGAGCTTTGCGTTACTGCTAGTAATTGATTTTCAAAAAAAAAAAAAATTCTTCAAACACAATGAGTTACTTTGCGCGCAAAAAAAAGGTATATAATTATTCGTGTTCACGTGTATTTATATCTAAAAAATAATAAAGCCTCGGGCGGTGCGGGTCTACGGGTAGTAGTAGTAGGTAAGGCGTTATCATCGGCTACTTAGCTCACTTATATATGTGTAGTACAACATCGTGCCTTAGATATTATACCCTTGGCCAAGTGTGTGTGTGTGCTGTTGTTACGTGTAATCTCGTTATTAAAATTTTCCCTTTTCCTCGACTCCTTTCCACGCGGATACTGGATAAAGAGTTCAAAAGAATTACTACTGCACGAGGGGTAGGCAAGAAGTGGAATTAGCGTCTCTCTCTCTGCGGTTGACGTGGCTTTAATTAACTCCCGCGCGCCGCGTTATACAGAGAGAAGAAATTCGCAGGCGCGTCCGTAGTTATATATCCGAAAAAAAGAGTCATCGAAGTCGCTGTGTATAATATAAACTCGTGTGCGCCTTTCTTTACCGGGCATTCGAGTCTCTCGATCTCCTCTCCGTATAGCCGCGTTGTGACTGCCGTTGTTGGGAGCGCCGAGCCAAGAGCCGAGCATCCCGCATACTATAACGCCGCGAATATACCAGAGAGATACTCTCCTCTCTCTCTCTTTCTTGCGTGATTCGATTCTCTCGTGCAGTCAGCAGCAGCAGCATATAGCAGCGTCGTTCCTCTCTTCTCTTTTATCGCCGGCTATACATACTATACACATTGTACTCTACAGTTTGCAGCAAGCACACGCACAATCTCTGCCGCTATATATACTTTGCTGCGCGACTCTTTTTACCATGCATTAACCTCGCGCGTCGTCGCCGTGCGAGCCGTTTATAAATATTTGATGAACCAAACCGATGCCGTGCGAGGTATAGAGTTCGGGCTTTTTCGCCTCGCGGCACTGCTCGCTGCTGCTGCTGCACGTCAATGCATATCTCTCACTCACTGACTCGTGCACGGTTTTTATGTATATGTAATGAACTTGCGTACAACAGCGTTTCATGGCTTCGTATTATATATACGTACACACATATGAAAGTGCACGCGAAAACGTCATTGAAAAGTTAGTTATGTACCTGCAGCGGCAGCAGCGACCTGACTCACCTTATCTATAAAGCGGCGCAGAGTACGGTCATCGCACAGCTGCCTTTGTATATAACGCGTGTATCGAGAGAGCCTTTGATGTGGATTTGTGTGTGTGCGTGTATCGACGTTGCTTCGCGTCCAAGATATTTGCTGCTGCTGCTAACGCACTCGCATACATACATTTAGCCGCATTTACATCGTCCTTCGATCGGTGTATATCTTTATTTTATTTTTTTTTTTTCAATGAAAAATAACGATAAAAAAATGCGCCTTACTGTTATTGGAAGAGAAGGAATAAGAGAGAGAGAGAGAGAAAAAGAACGACCAGGCAGGAAATGATTTTCCTCGCGCTTGCTCGCTTGCTCGCTTGCGTTCATTGAGTAGATCGTTTTGTGCGCTATTCTTGCCTTGCGTTGTTCTGTTTTTTTTTTTTTTTTTACTGTCATGCATATAGTAAGCTCGAGCGTATAATTTTTCAATTGTAAAACGTGCGCATTACGAATAAACCGTTACGATCGCGCGAGCTGCTTGAAATTTTTTAGATTAACAACAAAAAAAACGGCAAAAACTTTCTCGCCGTTTTAAGGGAACGAAAAATTATCTCCTCTCCGTATTACACGTGTATATTATACATGTGCATGCACACGCATATAGCGTGAATGCATGTGTGTGAGTGTTTGTGCTTATAGCGCCGAGAGGCGAGCGCGCGCGCGCGCAGACATTTGGACTTGAAAAATCGTTGGAGAAGTGAAACAGGTTTCGGATCGTTGAAGGTCGAAGCGTTCGGTTATAACAGTGTCCTCGTTATTTCGAGCGTGTGTGTGTGTGCCGCGTGAACTTATAGTAGTATACGTAGCGTGCGTTTAAATATGTGAGCGCGTGCGCCTCTTTTGGGATAGAGGGAACTGACGTAACTCCGAAGCTAACGCGCACGAATTTGAGGACTCCTCCGGGCGATCTCCTCTCTTGTATAAATAGTATTACGAATCTTTTGCGGAACCTATATTCGGAGCGGGTATCATCATCCCTTTTTTAACGAGCACGAAATTTCACCCAAAAAATAGATCTTTTCTGTTTGTTTGTTTTTTTTTGTTCGATGTAAAATTATTTTCGCTTCTTTTCATTATTATCCTTTCGGTCTTTCCATTCACGCTGATGAGTCAAACGTCACATTGGCGATACAGCACCTTGAAATCCTGTTTCTTTTTCAATCGAACTGCTGCTGCTGCTCATTTCTCGGCGGGCAGCTGCTGTCGTTTCTTAGCTAACACACTTATTCGTACACTGCAGCTGCTGCTCTTGCAAATCTAAGTTCTTTTTTAGTCTTATTCATTCAACGGAGTGAGCTGCAGGTTTAGATCTCTTGTGCAAATGCGCGTGCATTATAATTGATTTTTTTTTCAACCTGCGCTGCACATCCGAGCTGCGGTGCGGCTGCCGCTTTCTCCCCTAATTATAAAAATTAATATTCGCCAATCTTGATATTTCGTTCCCCTTTGTGTATGAATTATTATTTTTTGGAACCTAATGAATAACGTTGTGCTTTATTTTCATTTTTTCCAGACGATAAGAACGACGACGAAGACGACGACGATAATAATCGCGACGAAAAGAGCAGCAATGTTCACTCTACCGTCAAACAAGAGGAGTCCTGGAGTCGATCGGCGAGTCCAGCGCCCAAAAAGAGCAACGAAAATGTCAGCGACACAAAGCCAGCACCGGCGACGAGCTTGTTGTCGGCTCGTCAACCGGTAACGACGAAGGAGCAACGAGTGGAACTGCCCAAACCCATCAGTCCGCCCAGCGAGGTACCGCAGGCCAAGATCCACTCGAGGGTGTCGGTCATCCAGAGGGTCCCGGCGAAGAACGCGAAAAAGGACGACTCGTGCGTGGTGATACCGACGAGTCAGGAGCCCGAGCAGGAGCAGCCCATCAACTACGCCGTGGAGAAGAAGGACAAGAGCAATCACCAGACCGAATCTGAAGACATGGGCGCGCAACGCCGGCGGGCCGTGCGAGGCCACCACAAGGACCACAGCGGCGCCCCGAGCGGCCTCGAGTCCAAGTACGCCTGGACCCAGGCCCAACAGATACCCGGCATCATGTCGGCGGCGAGTGGCCACGGGCGCTCCAGCAACGCCAGCGGCGCCGGCGGCCAGAACGGCGGTTCCGCGGCGGGTGGCGGCTCCGCCGCGGGCGGTGCCCCGGCGGGCGGCAACGGCGGCGGCTTCATCTCGGGCGGCGGCGGAGGCGGACTCGGTGGCCTCGGCGGCACCGGCGGCGGTGGCATGAACCCCGGCGGCAACGGTCAGAGCAATTACGGGCCCAACTCGCCGCCGTCCTCGGCGCTGCCCCCGTTCTACGAGACGCTCAAAGCTCCCAACGGCCTGGGCTACGGCAACGGATTCATGAACAACGGCTACGTGCCCACGCCCATACTGCCGAGCGGCAAAGTCTTTCAGCATCAGTTCAACGTCGAGAACAAGAATTATCAGCTGCTGAACAACGTAGCTCCCCTGAAGGATGACGAGGCGTCCTACCGTGGCAGCATCATTCTCAAGGACGACAGCAACGAGATGGGCTCCTACAAGGTCAACAATCTGCCACTGAAGCAGGAGGAGCTGGACGTCTACAAATTGTCGCCCCATCAGGGCGACGGACTGTTCAATTCCAATCCCATGAGCTACGACGACAACATGATTCTCGAGGGTGGCCAGGAGTTCACCGGAACCTTCGCTCTGAGCGACTCCAACAACATGCTGGATTTCCAGGAACTGCTGCGCCAGAGCGTCGAGGACAATTCGATGCTGGACGAGACGCTGAACACGAGCATCAATGCGAACGTGACTTTGAGAGCCGACGGTACGATTAACACCGGAGATTCCAATGTCGATCAGTTCTTGGAGCATAACGTGCACATGAATGGACAAAATGACAATCGGTATGTGTAGGTTTTCTTTTTACTGTAACACACTGTTTAAATTTATTTTTAACTTATATTTTATTCATTGAATTCTATGTGTTTTCAGATTTTTCAACTCGCCGAGAAATTTCGTTCCCAAATTACAAAACTTCTACATGGAGGAAGAATCCACCTACCAACACTTGACTAAAGAGGTACAACTCAATGGAAATGGCGTACCCATCTCGCACGCCGTGAACATAGCTATTGGAAACAATCAAAATTTGATTTCACCAAATTTATCGCCAAATCATCAACACCTCAATCAAAATTTAGCTCATCTAGAAGTCAACTACGCGAATAATCGTAAGTTACATTTAATCTTTGCCTTCTGAATTAAAAATAAAATATCGATGTTAAAAAAATGGTAATGTAACAAAAATTTTTTCACTAATGAAGTGAAATCTTTTCCAGCAATGGACTTGGAATCAGGCAGCTGTGGAGGAAGTTTACCCAGCCCAAGCAGTTCGGTGGACGTTCCTTCGTCCGTGACCAGCAGCACGTCGCCACCCGCGCCGTTGGAGCTCGCTGTTGAAGTTCCTATTTCGCCGAGCCAGTCGGACTTTGTCGGACCGGATGCCGCGCTCGTCCAAAAAGTTCGTTCAAATTTCGAAGTGGTAAGCGACTCACCTTGATATCGGCAAAAGCATAGTTTTTTACTTTAAACGTTAAATGTCTCGTTATTTGTGCAATGCCAATCAATTTGAGTACTACATTCACGAGAACTAAAATTTAAATTGTCTAGACTATCATAACTAACCATATATTTTTTTCTCATGACATCTTCAGATGGGACTCGTGGATTACGATATAACCAGCGTCGAATACGTTAACGGCGGCCACGGCATCAAGAATCCCCTGGCCAACATCGAATCCCAACGACAAACATCCACCAGTGAAGACCGAGAACGCGAAAGATCGGTACGACAGTCGTCGACAACCAAAGACAGCTCAGAGTCAAAGAACTTTGCGTGCCGCACGTGCAACAAATCGTTCAACCTGCAGCGACTCCTCAACCGCCACATGAAGTGTCACAGCGACGTCAAGCGTTACCTGTGCACGTTCTGCGGCAAGGGCTTCAACGACACCTTCGATCTGAAGAGGCACACGCGCACGCACACCGGCGTCAGGCCCTACAAGTGCAATCTCTGCGAAAAGAGCTTCACTCAGCGATGCTCCCTCGAGTCGCACTGCCTCAAGGTCCACGGCGTCCAGCACAACTACGGCTACAAGGAGAGGCGCACAAAGGTCTATGTGTGCGAAGAATGCGGCCACACCACGCAAGAGCCCGAGGTTCACTATATTCATCTTAAGGAAAAGCACCCGTACAGTCCGGCTCTGCTCAAGTTCTACGACAAACGTCACTTCAAGTTTACGAATGCCAACTTTGCTAACATGCTGTTGCAGGTGCGCACGTAAATCAACAATTAAGCAATAAGTTTTCTTATATTTTATTCATAAGTTTATTATAGAGAAACTTCCGTGTACTCGTTTTGTGTGACTTTAATTTTATATTTCGTTTCTATAACGCTTCTAATCTTCAACCATGCTCATAGTTTTATCAGGATTCAGTGGTACTGTTAGAACCGATCAGAAATTGCACTACCCGCGTTCTTTATAAAATAAGCTATTAAAAATGTTTTCGACTGCATACGTGAGAAAAGTACATTCTTACAAAGATGTTCGTGAACGATTGCGCTATCCGTGATTCAATACAAAAATTACGATTCAGCTGAATAAGAATGAGAATTAAAAAAATTTTTAAATTCTTATAATTTATTTCGTTTTAAATAAATATTTATCTGGTTTGAAGAAAATTTTTGTATTGGACCAAAGTTCACACAATTCATTCGCAAAATGTATTATATTTTATGTTGATCTATTGTTTATTCGTTGTGTATGTTCAGTATTCTTTATCGACATTATTTATGAACGTTTCGATTTTTCATTTCTTTTTGTAGTTGCATGGACGATCAGAAAATCGATCGCAAAGAGAAAACCCCCCTATTAAAAAGATGAGCAAGGTTTAACGCAATGAAAGAAAGACTTTAAGCTTTGGATTTCGATAAATCTAAACTCGTAATTTAAGAAAAAGTGAACGATAAGTAAAAAAATCACAGATAAAGTGAACTAGTTGATGTGTGATACGCAGGGTGGACTGTTGCAGCGCGATGTTGATTCCTGTGTCAAATCAGTCTCGAAGGAAATGCAGCTAAGAGCCCCGACTAATTTGTTGCAAGTTGGAAACTCCAGTAAATCTGAAATGGTTTAAGAAGATGACAACGTTGGAACAAGCACTCGAGGACTACAGTACTTAATAAACAAGCGAGAATTTCATCACCGGAATAGTACCTTTGTACTCGAAGTTTCAGACAATTATCTGTTGCTACAACGTCTCCTGGACTGATTTACTCGGTCGTTCATTATATTTATTTAGTTTAAAAATTAATCTCTCCCTCGACTTGAATTGGACGTCTCAGGATTGTTATGAAGAATCTGCAGTTTTCGCAGTTCATTAGCTATTGGACTTTAGAATCGTTATTTATTCAAATGATGAACGGAGCGTTACGTCCACTTTCGACTCGCAGGGTTAAGTAAAAATATTTTTGATAGTTTTTAAGAGATCTTTCGCGTTTTTTATTTATTTATTTAAATAGGGGTATATTTTATAAGCTCACGCATATACACATACAAACACACAGTGGTTTTCTTGGGTATAACTATTTTTTTCAATGACAAGTATACTTGTTCTTCATTTTCATTTAATTAAATTTTAATTAAAATAAGACTTGCTGATTTACAATTAGACGAAAAAGACTGCTGGGCGTTAGAGATCTCTTAAAGGTACTTAAAAACATGTCGAATTTAAGTTATTTTATATCCGAGAAGAAACATATCATTAGATTTTTTGAAAAGTGGTTACACATGATGTACACTTATTCACAAATGATGTAGGTTTGTTAGTAGACTTGGGCGAGATGAAATAATTATTGCTTCAAAAGTTATATACTAATTTCAACTATACTCTCACCATCACAACTTACATCAGTATTAGAATTTGAAAATATCGATATAATCGAGGGTTTTCGAGAACTCTCACATGACTGACGACTGACTATTTATTATTATAATCTTACAATTTTTTCCCTCGTATTCGTAAATGATAAATTATAAAAGAAATGAGTTTTTCAACCAATTTTTACTTAAACGTTAAAATCAATAGCTTCTCAATATAGTTTGTCAGCGTGATTCGTTGATTATGTATGGTTATAATAGCCTGTGATATAGTCGGGTGGGGAAAAGAAAGAAATATTTATATATATCGTTGCGATTATTTCCACCTTATAAAAATATACATATGCGTGAACCTCATAATCGATCAGTAAATCTAATAGTCTGAATATCCTTTTGATACTAGCATAACGGAAAGGCTACGTCTCATAACTCCGGGGATTCGTGCAATTTTCTCGAAAGTTATAATAATTATGTTAATTTTAAGCTTGTATTGTAAACATTCAGAGTATTACGTTAGAAAAAACTCACTTAATGTTAGAATTAAAGAGAAAAAGATATGTTTCATTAGTAAGTAAGATTATTAACAATAGGGTGCTTTTTAATTATTTAGTTCAAATGAGAGATAAATGTTAAGTTAAAGTATCATTGAAATGCACATCGAACGAAGACATTCCATTGTTAATATAATATTTAAATTGTATATACTAATTTTTAGTTTGAATGTATATGGAAGTTTATTATATTTTGTATTCGTTTCGTTGGATGACATAGATGATTATTCGCCTGAACTTTTTCCTCCAATGAGAATTAACTTAATTCAATTATTCCAATGATCGCTTTTAAGTTACATTTACACGCCTATTTCTTCAATAACATAATAATCGCTCTTTATCACTGTAAATTTCATTGTATTAGCTGGAAAACGATACGATAATGAATGCGCTTTCTGTAAATATTATAAACATTCATTCGTTCGAATGTTGACTTGGTTAAGATTGTGTATACTTTATTCATTCATTACTGCTTCATTCTAATTCTAATTTGGTATGATGACTTATGAAAATTATGTTGAGACATGTACAAAATATATGTGAAGTTGGATTCTCAACGAAAACTTCAGTACTTAATCGATGCCTCAAATCGACTTGCAAGTTGTCATTCATTGTATAATTTGTAGATAAAAATTCGTTCGTTTGTAAAATGACAATCAACGTTGACGTTAACGTTTTCGGTTACTACATCTAAATTATAAAATAAATATAATAAATAAAATTTGTTTGTTATATATAATAACATAAATTAGCTCATGAAGTTAAGAATATTACTCGCATTTTAAATGTTTATGGAATGTTATGGAGGTGTGACGTACGATTAACAATAGGTAATAGATTTAAAATTGTTAAACTTTAAAAAAATACATTGAAAAACCACATCGAAAAAAAATTGAAAAAAAAATTGAAAAAAAAATTGAAAAAAAAATTGAAAAACACATTCAAAAGAAAACATTGAAAATGCTTAAAATATAACTCAAAGTTTTGACTTAATCAAGTCAGTTAAATGATAGATTTTACTATAAAAAGTAAGTTTTTTAAGATTGAATATGTAAATTTTGTGACTAGCATGATTTTTTCCGTTTGGCTGTATAAGAATTTATAAATAATGTTGTGATAAGATTTCGAAAATAAATCTTGCATGAGAATAGAGAATTATTGTATGCGAGTATTATTCTTAAAGTATTTTTATTATTAGTAAAGGAACAACAATAGTCACTTCCTAACTTAATGTTTAATTTAAGTTGAGCGTAAATTGAAAAAAACTGCCCCAGTAGAAAGCTTCTTTTTGGGCCCTATACCTTGATGGAATCAACATTTTCTGCGATGGAAATCACAATTTATTGTAAATGTACTTCAGAAAGTAAAGCATCACGTCCAACAATACATGCTTAACAGCTCAAAGTTGATAAGGTTGAAGCAGCCTTCTTCATTTACTTCTCTAATAAACTAATGTACTAATGTGAATAAACACACATGATACATTTTGTTAACTGTAAAAATGCTCAAATTATTTGATTTGCATTTGATACTTCATCATGTAGAAGTACGAGAATTGCACTGCTAAAAATATATAAAAATTAAAAACTGTAAAGATATTATTTCTTTATTATTTCAATACTCAAATCGAAATCCTCAATCATTCAAAGTATATTTGAGCTTTACTTACATCCAGTATTTTGATGAACCTCTTAACAGCACACTTTGGAAATTCAGGTTTTAAATAATTTTTATGATAATCGTATAATATAATCGTTAGTTATATGATAATGACTATTTTATTCATATCTATACGAATGAAAGATACTATTGACTTTAAAAAAATGTATATTTATATATGATAATATATATTTTAAAATATATATTTTTATATAAATATATAAAACAATATCAGATAATAAATGCTTGAATGTACATGATGATATTTATTTTAGAAGAATAACTTAGTTATGTAAACGAAATTATAAATCATGATCCATTACATGAATATGTTGTTACAAATATAAAAATGTCTATTTTAACTTATGACATTATTATAAAATGACTCGATGAGAGCAAAGTGACATTAATAATAAAGAAATTAGTGCACATATAAAACTAGTTTTATTACTTGAAAATTTTTTCAGTACTTTCGATCATGTTGTTTTGAATTTGGATATTCATAGCCCTTAATTACCTCTTTATCACCATTCGATAATACAATCCTTTTTTATATACCTTTTGCTTTTTGTTACTTTTGAGAACTATTTTTTCGAATATGTAGTTTTTAAGTTACAGCAACATTTACATTTCATTTACATACACTTATATTTACATTTGCATTTTCGTTTTGCATGAAATAAAAATAGTTTGAAAAAATAAAAATTTAATTTTTGTTCGAACTGAAACAAATTTATTTAATTAAAGAAAAGATTTACATTCTTTCTATTGTTCGTATAATAAATTGATAAAGAATCAATAACGACATAAAATTACAACTAAAAGTTGGAAGTATAAAATACATTTCATGAATCGTTGATCTAAAATGCTCGTTAAATTGGAAATTTTTTCTTAAAATATTAACAATGAACTACAAGTAAAAAATATTTAGGAGTCAAATTTTCAGGATAAATTTCAGGGTCAACATATATAGAAATTTATGTTAAGTAATACCGTAACATAGCGATATATTTTTAAAGCATTGATCAAAAATAAATCTCTTTGAACTTACAATTATTCTAAAATATTATCCGGTTTGTACACTATTGAATCAAAATATTGCTAATAATCATTTTGATAAACAAAAATATCCACAAACAGGTAAATCCTCTATTCAACAATTATTTCAACTAGACTGTTACTCCAGGATATGCTTTATCTAGAACAGAATTTAAAGAATGAATAAAATTTTCCTTTTAGTAATAAACGATATAAAAATAAACATCATGACGTCAACTTACTACCAACAACTCTTTCGATAGGCAGAATTCTGGGTTTAACAGGTACAATCGGCGCCTTTTTTCTGGGTCGCGATGACGAATCTTCGTTTAACATTTGAACCTAGATAATGAATGATTTTATTTATAATTGTCACGTATTAACTTGAAATTCAAAAAAAAAAAAAAATTGCATACTTTGTCATCGATGGCATTGAATTGCCACTTCCACATATGATTATAAAGGAATGGTCTGTGATCGAATCTGTTATCATCCGGACTGTAAGTTTCCATATGAACCGACGGAGTCAAAGTTGTCATTTTATGACGATTAATCGCGTAACAGCGATAAAAGTGTTTAACTTTGTCCGCGACCTGCAATAGAAAATTTTTTTTAATACAAGAATAAGAAGATTCGTAAAAATTAAAACAAAAGCGTTTACCTCTTTGGGAGTTATATTATCCCAAGTATTGACGAGATTGCAGAACATCGAAAAGGGTCCCGCCCGATTCTGCTTTCGGAGTCTACCGAAAATGCCCAACTCCACGTACGTCATTCCCATGTCGACTTCGTCCAGTTGCGCCAATTGGCCCTCTTTGAGGGGCTCCAACTCGGCGGTCGGAGGCGCCTCGAGAATCTGATCGATGGCCGGAATATTATATTTTCTCCTGAAACGATCGAGATCAATACGTAAATTCGATTCTCGTCTTCGAGCGAAAAATCCTTTTTTTTTATAATTCTAACCGGAAAAATTTGAGGAACTTCTTCAAATCGGTCTTGGCGATTCCACCGATCGGATTGATGTCGGCACTGCTGCAGTCGTACTTGGTGAAGTAGCCTCTCAGAGCCTCGTCGACGTTGCTGCTACCGAGCACCAGCAGACCGCCCGGCCTGTTTCTCACCCACAGCATCAATTGCGCGAACAAGTAGGCGATCACCATCCGTATTCTGGCCTGCGCAAAGGATCAAAAAAATATTATTCTCAATCGAGTCACGATAGAGAGAATGTGTCCTTAAACAGCGAGTCGTCTCTCGCTCGTACCTGAACGTTCTGCAGGGCTAAATTCTCGCGCGGCGAGCCGCCGTGAGCCTTGAACTTGGGCGTGAGCTTGGACACCTGCTGAAATATGGCCAGTATCGCGCTGACCGCCGCGTCGATGACGATGCTGTGATGATACGAGCCGAGCTGCGCCGCCAACTCGGCCGCGCGAGCTTTGGTCGCCGAGGACGAGTTCTCCGTGGCCATGTAGCAGGTGACGAGGAGCGTGTTGCAGAGCTGCTTCGCGTCCGTGGGCACGTAGTCGGGATCGCCAACGATCTTGCGTATGTCGCCGAGGGCCTTGCCGTCGCCCTGCTTCACGGCCTCGACGATCATGCAGCACATCGAGTAGACGATGCAGGCCGTCGAGGACGAGTCGACGCCGCCGCTGAGCGGCAGGAAGAAGCCACCCTGGCCCGAGCGCCTCAGATAGTCCCAGAGCCAGCAGGCCGGCGCCATCGAGATTTCCTCCTCGGGCGTGTGGCAGGCGATCTTGAATCGATTGTCCTCGTCGACACTGTCGTCGTTGATGAGCCTGTCGGGCACGCCCGAGAATGGATTGTCCGACGACAGCGCGAAGTCCACCCTGACCCGGGGATAGGGATGCGAGCGAGCGGCGAGATGCGAGCGCGACCTGATGCTGTTGCGATAGCTGCGTATGTCCTCGAGATCGACGGTGGCGACGCTGACCTCGACCTCGTTGAGGCTGAACTGACGCGCCTGATTGAGTATCTGGCCGTTGAGGGCGATCATCGAGCCGCCGTTGAAGTAGATGCGGGTGCCGTCGCAGCCCCGCGCGTTGCTGAACATGTAGCAGCCGCCCGACTTGAAGCTCGCCGATTTCACCAGGTCCACGGTGACGTAGGCCTTGCGCAGCTCGAACTGAGAGCCGCTGCCTGTGGAGTTTGGAGATTTCGGTTTAGAGATTGGATATTTTTAAAAAGGGTGGATTAAAAAATTGCTAAAAAGGAGTGCTAGATACGTAGTTTACTAGTAACAATCTAGACTAGCGTTAATGATCTAGACAAAAACTACTAAACCAAGCGTTATAAACTTTCCATTATATCCATGCGATGAACTTTTCTTCCTTTAGATCCATCCCCCTCATCGTGAAGAATAAATAACTTGGCAGTTATAAATCTGTTCGTGTGCATTATCGTCAAGAAATAACTTATTTTGGTTTCGTATATGTTTCTTTAATAATTATTTAATTTCAAAATAAATCACGTTCACGCGCGCGTTGATGCATGCGAGAGATGACTTATTTCCGCGACGATTTCACTCGACGCGATAATTAATTCTCAAATACACAAACACAGAGAGACTACTGCTTCGTACCGTTTGATATGATTTCGACGCCGTCCAGTGCCATCGGTATGTGAGTGCTGGCAGGATTCCACAGCTCTTCGCAGATCTCGAATCCGATGCAGGTGTCGCGGGTGGAGATGACGGCGTCGCCGAACGGCACCGTGCTCTGATTCGTTATCTGGACGATCGAGCGCGGCAGGAAGTAGTCCTCCACCGATCTTTCCTGGGAATTTAATTAACAAACATTCAGAAATCGAACTTAATGATTGGCGCGATGTTTTCGACGTTCGAAATTTTTTTTTTAATCGAGCATTTCGATATATAACCCCCACTTCAAAGCGCTGTATACAGCTCAGTTACCAAGATGGTTTTTGAGGGATAGTTATTGTTGATATCTGCGCGCTTCGTGCGACCTTAATACTCGATTCTTTGGTGTCAAAGTGTTGGTGGTTCGATATCGGTTGGAAGTGAGAACGAGTTAATCAGTCACCGTTGATCAAGTTAATGTTTTATATAATCGCGGTTTTTAATGTGAATTACAAGCAACGAAAAAAATTATACTTAACCTAAATCAAAGTTCCAAAAAAAATCCAAAAAAACTCAAGCAAAAGTAATTGGACAGTTCTGACAGAAAAAAAATAATCTTGGTAACTCAAACATCGACGCGCTCGAAGAGCTACGGTACAAAAAATAGTAAGCAACGACCAATGCCCGATATCCTTACTTTGGTCCAAGGCGAGAACCACCTGGACTCGCGATAATTGTTGTCCTCGGCCATGATCATTTTCGGCCTGATGAGGAGGATGCGTCGATTGAGGAAGGCCACCCGACAATTGTAGGTGACGTTCTTGTGCATGACCGGCATGCCGACGTCTATGAGCACGTCGTCGCACTCGGCCGAGCGCATGAGGCAGGCCAGCACCTCCCAGCAGTGCTGCAGCGTGTCGGCTTCGTAAAAGTGATCTTCGCAGCTGTAGCCGCTATATATATAATAGAGAGAGAAAGTTCGAAATTAGCCAACAGAGATGCGTCTATGAGAGCAGAGCGCGTACCTTATTTCAAGTTCAGGGCCGCTGCGAAACGTCGCGCCGGCCTCTTTGGCGATCTGTATGCTCTGCAGTATGCGCCTGTAGTTGCCCTCGAAGTCCATCGCCCATTGATTGAGCGTGCACACGGCTACGGTCACCAGGCGGCCCATTTTATGCTGCTCTTCTTCCTCGTCTGTCATCGTTGCGTTGCGTTGTATCGGTTGTTACAAATCGATGACGATCGGAAACGAGAACAGAGAGAGAGAGAAAACGAAAATTATTATAATTGTTCTCCCAGGACTCGACGAGCGTCGAGAGCAGTGTAGTCGCGTCGTTTTGTGTAATGCACGCGAAGGAACAGCGAATGTTTTATCGATATCGCGCGAGATTCTGCGCACGCGAGTTCGCTCAACTTGCAAGTTTCTCTCTGTGTACTGGTAAATATCACGCGTGTGCTGCGCGCGCGAGAGAGAGTTTTGGAATTCATATAACGATATAATTACTCGACTGTAACACGTTCGATCGATCGCGCGAAACACTCGCAAACGCGTAATAAGGATTATGTATATATGCGATGATAATTACGAGGAAGTACGTAATAGGTAATGAGCCCGTGTTTCGGAAGTAAAGGTGCACCTTGGAGGTTTTTCTGAACGAGGGAGAACTACGTCATACAGCGAGAGAAAATTTCGTATATATACCTACTCTCGAGGCGTCGGCGTCGCGGCGAGGGAAAGAGTTTTGGGATATATGTTGTAAAGAGAAAATTGAGGATAGTAAGTCGCGCGCGAGTTCGAAAATAGCGTTGCCGAGACCGTGCGAGTTGACTATAAATATGTAAAAGACGCGAAAGTATAAAACACAGAGAGAAAGAGAAAGAGAGGAAAAACAAGAGTAAGCGCGAAAATTTTCGCGCGCGTTCAAGAAATTTCGATAATACATTTTCTCAATTTTTTTTTTATCATCAAGGTTTCGAAGAGTAGTCACACTCGGCGTCGTCGCATTGATGCACGAGTATATATAAGCTAGAATACGGTCTCGAGCGTGGCGCACGTGCGGCGAGAAACGATCCGTGTATATATCGCCTCTAATTACCTCGATAGCGAAACGCGGGTTTATTTCTGTACTCACGCACGTAGTATACGGATCGTTATTTTTACGCGGGTCAAGCTGTACACACACAAAACCGATATATAGACTCGCGCTATCGATAGATTTATCGATATATTTATACGCGTCGAGCGCAGAGAGCCTATATTATTATCAATGTTGTGTGTGGGTACGCGATTCGATGAATCAATGCGAGGTATATATACCGGTCACGTGGACTGGAAGAAGAAACGCAGCTGCACAATAGAGACGATTGTTTTCTTTGTGCGCTCGTGCACACAAGCGCGCGTGTGTGTATGCAAAAATTGGCCATTAAGAAATTCGAGTCTCTCTCGATCGGTTTCCGACAAGCTGCAAATAGCTGTCGTCGTCGTCGAGATGATATCGCTATGTGTCTATTAACGCTCTACGTCCGTGCATAAACTTGAAACGGTCGATTCGTTCGGGACGCCGACGACGAGCTTTTTGCTCCGCTTTCTGGTCGCAAGCTCGCAAGCTCGCGCGGGAAACGCAGCAGCTGTGCGTTTCGTATCGTTTCGTTCACGCGCGCGCGAGAATGTCGAAAGCACGACGACGAGCAGCTGCAAGTTGCATGTGTGCGCAAATCATCGTCAAAAATAAAACGTCAACGGAGCAGCAGCTCGTGCGCGCACATTCGAAACACGACGGTACGTACGAGTTTGCGATACTTCATCTATCACTTCGTTTTCTCGTATCAGTAGTGACTACTGGGAATAAGAAGCAGAGAGAGAGAGAGAAAAAAAAAAGATATTCGATACGTTTTTCTGCAGACACTAATCGCGTTGGCCGCGGGCCAAGAGCAAACTCGGGCGCGCGCGGGCATATCTGCTGCCACCAACGCGCACAGAGCAGAGAGAGGCCCGCAAGCTCGATCGCCGCCGCGATGTATATCATCGCGTTGCAATTTAGAGGGCGATCACACGCGACTTTTGCGCGAACGACGGGGGGGTAGGAGTGGAGATAGATAGTCAGTCGGTGTGCCCGAAGAGTCTCTCGACTCTCTTATACGTATCTCTATATATACGATGCGGCGGCGGCGGCGGCGGTGGCAGTGGCTGCTTGTGTGTACACCTGCACACAAGAGAGAGAGAGAGAGAGTACACAGTATGTGCGAAAGCTCGTCGATATACGGCCGCCGTTGCCGCCGCTGCTGCGCTTCTCTCTCTCGCTGCTCGTGGCTCGTGTGGAGCAGCGGCAGCAGCAAAACTCCGCGCGTTAGTGTAGTACAAGCTCGCTCGCTCGTCGTCAAGGAGAGAGAGAGGCTCTATAGAGGCTCTTTTCTGGCTTGGGTCGTGTGTGTGCGTGCGTGTGTGTGCAGTGCCGCCTTCCGCGATCGACACACTGTGCGCTCTGTGTGCTCTGCAGCCGATCCCACACACAGACACACACAGACACAACCGTAGTACATAATAGTTATCAGTTTCGAACAGTAGCAGTTCTTTCTTTTTCTTTCTCTTACTTTCTTTCTTTCTTTTTTTTTCGTTCAACTTCGATCAGATCGTCATTACCGATAGGTATATAAAATTGAAAAGTTTTGGTGCATAGCAGGCTAGCTCTCTGCGGCAGTGGCAGCGGCGGCGAGGTCGTCGTTCGCTCGCAACTACTACTACTACTACTACTACCACCAGCTACTACTACATTTTTTCCGAGACTGCAGCAGATTTTCGCATTAGGTATATACCACGAGAGAGCCACTCGACACGATTTTTTACATTATTATTCGGTCGCGAGAGACGTCGAGACTCGCGACCGACCAACTGAAAATTCGTGTATACTTTTGCCAACCTTTGCCACGGTTTACATACGAGAGAGAGAGAGAAGAAAATTAGTGCGCGGGAAAGTAGCGCAGTGATGGTGCAATTTTTCGCGCTTTCATCGTGAATCACTCGTCGGAGGCTCGTAAATCATTTCTTTGCGCGAGCGGTGTTTTTTTTTTGTGTACGCTACGAGCCTCGAATCGATTAAAATGTTTATTTATATTTTTTTTTCTTCTATTCGCGATAAAAAAATCTAAAATTAAGCGATCGTAAAGCTGAATTTGTTTTTCTCGTGTGCAGATATCGCGATGGTTTCATTGTGCGAGTATGATCTTCGCGTCGAGCAGCTATCATCATCATTATCATTGGTGCATCAGTGAATGACGACGAGCGGCCGATAGAAAAAAAACCATGAGGAAAGAGGATGCCACAAACGAGCTTGAATCCACAGTCCGGGGTGTTCGGCGGTCAGAGAATCAACAACAACAACAACAGTCACAGCGACAACAACACAGGCAGCGGCAGCAGCTGCGACTCGAACGATCTCAGCAGCAGTCCGCAAGATCGGGAGGAAAATGGAATCGTCGTCGACGTCAAACAACGTCGAGAAGAGCAGCAGCAGCAGCAGAGTGAAAGACCTGCAAGCTGCATTATTTCCGGTACAGCCGATTCCTGGTAAACTAAGTTTTTTTTTTTTTTTTAATACTATCCACTGCAGAGTGAAGAGTGATGCACAGTGATGACATGCACGTCGTGTCGTACGCGCACGTTCACCTCGCACACGACTGCTTTATTATTATGATCGTGAGTGTGTAAGCTTGCAGCGCATTTTTGTCCGAAGTCAAAAATTTCGAGCCATTGTGTCGAGCGCGAAAAAGCCGCTAAAAATAATAAATACGCGCGCGCGACATTATAAAGCTCGTGTTAAAAATCTATATTTGAAACGCTTTGATGCACGCGTGTGTGTGTGTGTTCGAGGAGGCGAGAAGAGAAGAGCAGCGGCACATCGCAAAAACCCGAGATTTTCATTTCCGCGAGTGAATTAATTATTTCGTCGATTGCGCACAAAGATTTATTTGATATAAAATTTGGAATTCTCAGAAGATAGAGCGAGAGAAGACGAAGAAGAAGTCAGTAGTAGTGGCCACCGAGAGCGTCTTTTTGGCAAAATACACATTTTGGCGAGCGAGATTATAACCTTGATGCAAAATCTTTCTCACACATCTCGATATTTACGCGTACACGCGCGCTCGAGTGCTTTGTATAACTGCTTTTATATTATCGTTGTTATTATTATTATTTGTCATTATTTATTACTATCGCTCTATCGAATTAAATTAACCGCTGCTGCGAACACGAGAGACGAAAATAATGTATACATATTTTCGCGCGCAGGAAACAATCTGGTGAACCAGCAATGCCTGCCGACCAAGTTCACCGGTGGGGCTTTCGATCATCATCAGCATCGCAAGGATCTGGACTCGGTGCTGTCGCTCACCGGCGGCTTTCACAGCAGGTCGTTTCGCGAGCACAGAGACCACCTGCACGTACAGCACCACCACCAACAGCTGCAGTCGCTGCTGCAAGCTGACCCCTACAACAACTTGTTGGTCAACGGCTTGGACGCGCTGAGGCAGGAGGCGCGATGGCCAATAGAATGTCAAGTACGTGTGAGAATTTGGCAATGCCGCGCATTACGTTTGCGAATAGTGACCTTTTTCATAAATTCGGGTAATTTATTATTTTCGCTCTCTCGCACAGGTGCTTCCCGATCGAGTGCGCCACATAGATTACAGCCCCGCGGAGCCGGAGCCCTTCAACGTGCCCACCGGCAGGGAGCCCAGACCCAAGCCCGTGGGCGAGGACATGGGCACCGTCATCTTCCGCTACTGTCCAGCCACCTCGACGAATTACGTAAATATGAATATATTATTTTTTTTTAGAGCACATTTTCGAAGAAATAATAATTATATGTATAAAGCGCGGAGACGATTAGGCGCGCAGCGCGAGCGCGAAAAAAATAAATCGCCCGCCTGAAAAATGCGGCTGGATGAAAATAATTCCCAAGCCCCACGGAGAATCCGCGAGATGTAAGATTTAAAAATACACTCGCGCTGTTTCAGTGATGAAATCACTGTAGGTGCAGTAAAAAAAAAAACAGAGGAAAAAATAGATGAATTAGCACACGGGGAATTTGTTTATTATTTTTAGTAATTCAAACTATCTCTAAACTAAATTTTTAATGCAGTTCAGCAGATCGTGCATCGGCGGCAGTGCGGCACTGGAACGAACCGTGGCCGATCCGTCGTCCACCACGACGACGACCAACGTCAACAATCAGACGGCCACCGACGAGACGATATTATCGCCGCCGCCGCAGCCGCAGCAGTCCAACGACCTGTGCTTCGAGTCGAGATTCGAGTCGGGCAATCTGGGCAAAGTCATCAAGATCACCGACACGTACTACCAGCTGCATCTGCGCAAGGACCTCTACACGCAGCGACACATGCAGTGGTACTACTTCCGGATAACGAACACGAGGAGCGGCGTCTTGTACAGGTATACGGATGACAAAAAATTATCATCGAATATCATTCAAACGATCCATTAACTTTCGATCTTTTTAGATTGTCGATCGTGAATCTCTGCAAGGAGGACAGCCTGTACAACGAGGGCCTGCGCCCGCTCTGCTACTCCGTCAAGTCGGCCAAGCTCAACTCGGTGGGCTGGCGTCGCTGCGGCGAGAACATCTGCTACTACAAGAACGACGGCTGCTGCGGCACGGACTCGGGCGAGCAGCAGGACCAGAAGGAGCGCCACACGCTCACCTTCAACATACGCTTCGAGCACGACCAGGACACGGTCTACATCGCCCACTCCTACCCCTACACCTACTCGGATCTGCAGGACTATTTGGCGGGGATCGCCGGCGATCCCCTCAAGACTCGCTTCACCAAGCTGCGCCTGCTGTGTCGCACCCTCGCGGGCAACGGCGTCTACTACCTGACCATCACGGCGCCGCCGGTCAACGACAACGGCAACTGCGAGGCCGGCAGCGGCACCACCGCGTTCAGACGCAAGAAGGGCATCGTGATCACGGCCAGGGTGCACCCCGGCGAGACGCCCTCGAGCTGGATCATGAAGGGCATCTGCGACTTTCTCACGGGCGAGTCGAATCAGGCGCGCGAGCTCAGGGAGCGCTTCATCTTCAAGCTCGTGCCGATGCTGAATCCGGACGGCGTGATAGTGGGCAACAATCGCTGCTCGCTGTCGGGCAAGGATCTCAATCGGCAGTATCGCACTGTGCTGAGGGAGAGCTACCCGTCGGTCTGGCACACCAAGCTGATGATCAGGAGGCTGATGGAGGACTGCGGCATCGCCATGTACTGCGATCTGCACGCGCACTCGCGCAAGCACAACGTCTTCATCTACGGCTGCGAGAGCAAGAGGCCGGGCTGCGGTCCGCGCGAGGGTCGACTGGCCGAGCAGGTCTTCCCGCTGATGCTGCACAAGAACGCCGCGGACAAGTTCAGCTTCGAGAACTGCAAGTTTCACATCGAGAAGGGCAAGGAGGGCACGGGTAGGGTCGTGGTCTGGCTCATGGGCATACAGAACAGCTACACGATGGAGGCGTCGCTGGGCGGCTCGGTGCTGGGCTCGCGCACGGGCACCCACTTCAGCTGCCAGGACTACGAGCAAATCGGCAAGGCCTTCTGCGAGACTCTGCTGGACTTCTCGGACTCGGATCCGCTCAAGGAGCGACTGAGGAGCAAGATCATCGCGAGGCTGATCAAGGAGGGCTCGAGCGCCGACGAGCCGACCAACATCGAGCTGACGGATTACTCCAGCGACGAGGGCGACACCTCGGACAGCTCGTCCGAGGAGGACAGGTACACCGCGAGCGAGATGCTGAGGCGCAGGCTGAACTCGTGCGAGGAGTATCTGGCGGCGCCGCCCCCGTCGCCGCTGCTGCTCAAACCAGCTACGGCCGAGTCCTACGGCAGCAACAAGAAGCAGTCCAAGTCGAAGAACAAACTGCCCAAGATCGTGCTGATGCGCAGAAAGGCGATGAGAAGTAGAAAGACGCTGGATCTGCCGACCACCGATCCGGGCAGCGACCTGTACGAGCTGTCCGATTCCGCGGACGAGACGACGACGAGGCTCAAGGTCAAGAGCTCCGACGAGGAGGAGAGACTGATCGAGCTGATCGAGAAGGAGAATCGGCGCAGAAAGCAGGCGGAGGAGCTCGAGCTGCCGCAGATACCCAGGCCTCGTAGCGTCTCCCTCGGCGAGGACATCATTGGCGCGGATTTGGACAAGAAGACCAGAAGATTGAGGCACAGACGCATTCCTATGTGAGTATCATTTGATTAAGTAATTAATTAATCGAGTGACGCGCGTGAAACAAGCTCTCTTTCATGCGAAATTCGTCGATCTCATCTACGTGCGTGATCTTGGCAGGCCGCTGAGGAATCTGTCTCCCACTACCCAAGATAATGGTCAAGCGATGAAGGTCAAGCTGATGCCGCTGAGGCAGAACTATTGGACCGGTGTGACTAATTGCGACTGGGAGAACGAGGAAAATCTCAATTATCTACAAAGAAACGACTGTCCACTGAGCTGGGGTGTTTCCAAGATGGCTTTCGAGTATCAATCCGATAGCGAAGCTCTGTTACTGTATGCCATTTATTATTTTTGTTATTAAAATCTAGTAATTATGGTGCAAACTTGACAGGACATTTATGTTGTGTTTGCAGGTCGTGTTCAAGAAAGTTGGAGGAGCTGAGCTACATGCAGAGTGATTATAAAAAGACCAAAAAGAAAACTCGTAGAAAACCATCCAAGATAATAGATGCTTCGACTGTGATCAATCCTTTGGATGAAAAGAACCAATCGAATAACAAGAAGAAAAAGCCCAAAGTGAAAAAACCAAAAAATGTCAAGTCTGGAGTGGAATCCTTGGACAATGACATTGTGCTGGTAACCAATGAGTTGGACACGTTGAAGTTATTTGGAACAGCAAAATTACCAAAAGTTAATTCTAAACAAAAGTCAGAGTCCAAAAAAAAATTGAACAAGAACATAACGGCTACAATTGCCACTTCCAAGCTGCTATCCAATAAAGTTTCAAAAGATTCTATAGGCGACAGTTCAACTTCAGATAACATAATGGTTGCTCTGAAACAAAAGAGCAATGGAACTCAGAAGAAGAGCAACAACACTACAGGAAAGAAGCGAGCTCAAAGTGCAGTTGTATTTAAAAAAGAAGCAAAGTAATCTTTAAAAAAAAAAAGTAATTGTAACCAAGTGACTGCCCATTTATATACGTATAACTGCACTGCCAGTTGTTGTATTCTGTGTATCGCGTATAAGCTTTGTATGCTGCGCTACACACAACGTAATATATGAACATTTTTTCATATGTAATAACAACTAAGCTTGTTTTGTTATTTGACTAATGATCATTTTACATTATATACTTATAGGATTTAGATATACCAAATCATTGGAGCCAAGTGTTTGTGAGAGATCATAAATACTAGCTTTTATCTCAGTTGAAATGTTGTACACAGCGTGTGACACAAGCGTACAGTGTCATGCAAGAAAAGATTTTAATTGAAAAAAAAAAAAAAAACTGTTTTTTATTCTGTACAAACACAGAGAAAGAAAGGGAGAGTAAGATAACGTTTAAAAGAGTTGAATGTTGACGTCGTTGATTTTTTAATAAAAAAAAAAAGTAAAAAAATGTTATTATCGTTTTTTCTGCAATTCGACTGCAGAAGAGAGTCTCTGTTACATTACGCTGTTTTCACACACACAGTCTCTTGTATGGTGAAATTTAATAAAAAACTGAAAAGAAAGGTTATGATTGTACCGGTTTTGTTTTGACTTTATTCGAATTGCCCTGCACTGCACACTGCACATACACACACAAGCACACCCACTGCACCGCAGCTGTACTGCTGCTACTACTACTACTGTCGTCGTCGACGAAGAAAAATAAAAAGCAAAACACAAGAGGTACCGAGTATAATATAATGAGCCGCAGCAGCTGTGCAAATCTTCTCTCGCCTGAAATGGGAGTACTTGACACTTTGCGTAATCACACTGTACTACTTTACTCTACTACGGAATTTATTACCGAATCACTCACGGAGGCGAAACTTGTGAATGAAATCTGCGCTACCGGTACCGCGGCAGCGAACATCGACTACGTTTATTGAGATAGCACCTGCATTGATATACATGTATACACAACGAGGTGGTGCTGCTCCGATTCGCCGCTAGCCCACCAGATGTCGCGCCACTGCAGTCGTCGGCACCGATTATCGTTTAATTGCATAGCAAACAATTAAATTAATTTATTTCCTGAACGTAACATTTATGTTTGCTTTTTACATTTTTTATTAATTATTGATTTATTAATGTTCATTTATAGCGAGCCTGACAAGTTAACAATAAAAGCGTCACATTGCTAAAACACAATCACCTCTCATTCGGTAAGTCTGATTCCGAGCGATCGTTCGAAACACCATCGGGTTTAAAGGCCTGATTATTATTTCGTCGGAAGTCATTCACTTCGGTCGAATAAAGAGTTTGTTTCAAGAGTTTATTTAATTCTCCGCTTTTTGCCATTAAGATCGAAACGAGATCGAAATCGTACACGACTCGACGAATGAATTTGCAATTATTAGTAACGATCGATTCTTTTGTTAAATCGATGACAAAAATAATGCCATTTCTTTTCAACGAAAGCATCGTTACGAGTCTACAAGCCAACATTATTTCCGTCAATTTAATCAATCAAATTTCATTATTCAAAGAGAGTATAAATATTTCGTTAAAAATAATGCGATTTGTCGAGTTTAGGTAAAGCACGCGCGAAATCGATTGTTAATGCGCTATTGGTGAAATTTACATCGGTGAATATTAAGAAAAAAGTATGAACATTTTTTACCTGACTCTAAATCCTCTTTGTCCTTAACAATAGATATCAAAGAGAAATCTGCAGAACCTGCTGATACATCCACATTCACTGTAAAATCATTTTAAATTTTTAAAAATGGTATAAGATAAACGTTTAGACATATCCAATGAAAAATAATTGTGTTATATGAATGAGATAATTTTTTGCTAACATAAATACACTGTGCTGCTGCACAGAGTATAACTACTGATGCATTGTGTTGGAAACAGCAGTCACGTTGATCTTACAGTCCATCAAGTTGAACAGACAACTGTTCAAAAAACTTCACAATAATTTGTTGCCTTACCTGTACTAGGAGAGAGAAAATCGTATTGCCCAATTAAACGATAATAATCAATATAATCACTCAATTCTTCTACCCTATTCCTGAAAATTCTCAATTTTTCATCTCCAACATTTTTTAGGGCTGCCTGCAGTGACTGTGGTATTGGCACATTTTGCCTGAAAAATAAATTTAAATTAATTCAAAGTAATTGCGAAGTTACTTGTGTCACTGATTCATACTTACTTTCTCAATAAGCTAACTTTGAATACCGTATACGTTGTTTCTGTGGCCCAAATTTTAGATACGTAGGGTGGCTGTGTGGGCGAGTCACAAGCACACAAAATAAGTTCTCGCACCCACCATTCCTTCACCCACTGCACGTATTTACAAACATATCTTTTGGTTGCCTGAGTTTTCGCTTTTTCCGAAAAAAATTTACGCCAGCTTTCGTTCACGATATTTCCAGTTTCTATCTCTTGTCTTCTGGAGCGACACAATTCAAGAAACGATTGGAAGTGTTCTTCCAGGATTTTATTTGGAGCACCCCATTCTCTCCCCATGGTGATTCGATGGTGTTTTGAAGTGTACGAGACTCCTGAATGAACTAAGCTGATTATTTACTAGTTGCACTTGGAATGAAAATCTGAAGTTGAAAGTATTTAAATTTACACTTGTAAGTAACTGAATCTAGTCATACAATGAGCAGAGGATAGTATCGCTGGCTGAAAGCATGCCAGTGCCTAGCTTCGCTATTCGTCAACATAAAATGTCAACACAGCTTCACGAGAGACGCTTGTTTGTATAACATACGCGTCAATAATAACAATAGAATACGGTAGACCGGACCGCGTTTACATCGATGTTTAAATATCCTTTCGGTAACGGCAGATTCTGAAAATATATGTCTTTACATGAAAAAAGCCCTACCTACGATGTCCGAAAAGTAACGGGAACAGGTCCTCGTTTGAGGTTTAAAAACGTGGTTCTAAAATTTAGCAAAATCGCTCTCGAAACTTTGCTCTTAGGGTAAAATCTATGTTAACAAGACGTTTTCTTACGTAATTTTGTGTGAAATCGAATTCCGTAGTCAGTTTTGACTCAGGAATACGATTTCATTTAAAAAAATGCACTTTTTCGACTTCGTCAGTTTTTATAAAAAATCGCATTAAAATATTGCATTAAAATTGCATTAAAATATCTGAATTGCTATTATTACACCACTGATTGATATCTTTGCGTTATAAAAGCACAAGACTTCCGTAGCGACAAATTTCTCAAATATCTTTTGAAAATGCAGCACCGCTACCTATTTTGTCTTATATTAACACCTACATTTTTGAGTCACGTGTTGCAGATGAGGAAAAAACAAAAGATCATCTCGCGCAGTTTGCATCGCATTATATATGAGTAAAATCACGTACAAGTACTGGCTGGTATACGGCTCGTTGTACGAACGGTGCGTTGAAATGTCGCAAGCATTTTCTCAAGGGGTCGACAATCGGCGACCTCGCGCATCCGGTCATTGTGCTCGAGCAACATCAGCGGCAGATATCGCGTTGTCTTCGTTGTGTCGCGTTCTTTCAAGTTCACGTTAAAAAAAAAAAAAAAGAAATGATCGCAAAAATTTCGATTCAACTTGTGTCGTAGTTCTAAGCAGCTGCCGCCGGGGTTCGGACTTTACCGACGATCAAAATTGATTTTCGAGAAAGCTGAAATGTATATAACGATTCGAATCTGCGGCTCAAAAATCTTAGCTTTTTTTCATAACGTAAAGAGTCGAGGTACATTGAATCTTGGAGCCACGATTTTTATTAAATACTCATTGACAAAAAAAATGTATATGAGTATTATATACCCAAGTTTCAACGGAATGCTTTTTAAAAAGGCGTTTTGATATTTCATTTTTTTTTTTTTTAGTCAAGTTCATTACTACCTAAAAAGTAATATTGTACTTGCAATTCAAAGCCTCGCGATCGCCCTACATCCAGCGCAAAATATGACATTTTCCATATAGAATAAGCAATTATAGATAGTAGATAGCAGCACGAGGTAATCGATTCGTTCGATAAAGAGGCATCGAATAATTTTGCAAAATTTTGGGAAAATGTTTCGACTCTGTGAAATTCCATCTATTCTCCGTAGGCGGCTTCTGTGGCGCGGACTAGCGAGCAGTACAGCAGCGCACAGTATACAACAGGTATATAATCACGAGGCGGTGGCGGCGGCGGCGGCGCGTGCGTGTCGCGCTGCTGCAGTCACCAGCACAGCCGAGGGAGCCGTACCTATACATATATACAACGGAGTCGAGCTCGAGCACGAGAGAGCCGAGCGAAAGGGAGAGTGGGAAATTATTGAAAACGTTGCTGGAAGCTCTGCTCGCCTGGTATCCGCAGAAGCTAGTGTGCAGAGGGAGCCGTGTCGACGAGAGATTAGGATTAGATGTCGCTCGGTCGAGAGAGAGAGAGAGAGAGAGAGAGACCCTCTCACTGCGCAGTCTGCCTGTATATGCAACAACTATATAGTTATAGATACTGTGTACATACGTGCAAGGCTTTCACTTGTTGTACTAGCTCCCGCGCGATGTATATATGTACTACACGCGCTTTCGCTTTTCCGTCGACGTCGCGTCGCGATAAATTCTGTTACAGTACGATGATGCAGTTCGCACCTTTCGTTCGGACACTTTTTTAAGATACGATATCTCCGAAATTATATCTAATAAAAAAAAGAGGACACATTTCCCACGTACTTGATCATTTTTGCATGCATTCGAGGAAAAATTTTAGAAATGGAAGCTAGCTTGTATCAACTCTGGCATTCTTATGAATCCATTTTTTCTCACGTCAATTATAAAAAAAAATTGATACAAGACAACGGACTGGATCAAGCGTTAAACGAAGCATATAGATAGAGTCAGCGTTTAATCAACTATAATCGACTGCGAGGGTAGTTTATACAGCAGCGATTTCGCCGAAGGGCTGAAAGGCTGGGCTCGGCTGCCATCGGTGGGTGGGTGGTTGGCTGGTGTTTGAGGGTGGCAATCCACCTTCCAGCACACACACACACACATAGTTGGGCTGGTCTATCGAGCCTCGCAGCTCGCATACTGCCCTAATAGACTAAGTTGCCCAAACGACGAGCTTCGTGTATAATGCGGCAGTCAGGCGCGCTTCAATATAGAGCTTGCGACCAGCTGTATACCACCTTGTATACGTATTACATCCATCGACTGCGAGCTTTTTTCACCTCTCTATATACTTATATCTTTTTTCTCGTTCGATTTTTTTTTTCTCTGTTAAATTTATCAAACTGAGCTTTGGAGCAGTCGAGCTTGCGGACGACTGCGCTTTTCTCATATGGAAATCGTAAAATACACCAACGTCAACGAATAATTGACATTTTTCTTTTGCGTTCATCGATACATTGGAAACTCGCGAGAGAATTATTGATCGATAGCAGTGACGCAGACCCAGACTGACGTGTCGACGAAATAATATTCACCACGGCGCGCGTAAATATTAAAATGCAAAATAGAGCAAACGCTTTGAATTACATACGATGAAATCATTGCCCAGTAAAAAAAAATGATGAATCGGTCTCGAAAATTTTCATCGGAAAATTTCTGCTATACAGTCCCCTATAATATTAAGCGCGCGGGGTATACGTGCGCGCACGAGCTTTTTCGTCGATCGCGGAAGCCGGAAAATGACGGGCCGATATAATGACAAGCTTGAATATTTTACATAGCTGCCGCTGAGCCGCTGGCCGCGTCACGCGTCTATACGCGACAGGTAGTAGTACACGAGTTTGAGAGGTCACTTTTTTCGAGATGTAGATGCTTTCGCGTATGTTGGCGAGCTGCATGCCGATGAACGCGCGGCCAAGTGAATTGTGTGATAATGAGCTTGGGATTCTCTTTCTTTGACACGATGGGTATTATATATGACTTACGCACACGAATAGGCTCGAGCCAAATGTTGAGAATGTAAATCTAGCGTACTCGGGGCTTATCTCGCTGTGTTCGATCGATCGGCAATAACAATGGCGTAAGTGCGAAGAAGACCCTACTTCGATGGACTTGTACATTTTTCGGCGATGCAATTAAATTAAGCGAGACTATACGTGGGCCGACCGTACGAAAAACACGTGTCAATGACTCGAGTACTCCCAAGAGCAATACGATTCATGGAGCTTCTTTACCATAATTGCTCAAAGTTTAATAGGATAATATCCTGATTGAAATTGTTGAGTTCAATTTTTCCAATGCAATGAATAATCTTAATAAGCTGTTGCTACCCGATAGTCAACGAGTGACTGTCTCCACTCAATACTCTTTAACCGGTAGAAAAAACCGTCTTAAAACCATTCTATACTAGTGACTATATAAAATCAAAATTAAATTAAAAACAATACTGGATTTTATTTAAGGAACATTTTACATGAAATCTCCCTTCAACATTAGTTTATAATAAATAATATATGAAAATGCAGTAATTAAGTTCAGCCTCATCCGCTAGATGGCGAATACCTTTACTGGTACATCTGCAAGTGGCAAAGTAAAATTAACTGTATAAGTATTCCAATTTTTGTCGGTAATTTTAGCATTTTTTTTTCCGAACGATCGACGATAACCGATTCGAGCACGTGAAAAAATGCTGGAAAAGAAAAAATATCCGGCGAAATCGAGCACGATAGCCAACGCTGGGCTAGGCCTCTTTGACTTACACTCGTTCTTTCTATTTTATGTAAAAATTTTTTTCACGAACGAGTCAAAGTTCGCCCAAAGTTCGCTCGCGGTCCCGTCCGCTATTATCCGCGATTATTGTTGCGCGGCGTCGAGGGGGAAAAAAATCGTAGTCAAGTTTTCGCGGGTGGAGGGGGGGGAGACCCGCATCAGGACATATAAAACGATCGCGCGGTCGCGGCGGCCTCAAGTAGTTCGGTGGTGGTTCATCGGTGCTGACGATTGAAAAAAAAAAAAAAAAGAAAATACCAAAAAAAGTTCAGTTCGATTTTTCCGTTTTTTTTTTCGTGCAATAGAGTAAGTGCGAGAGTAAGTGCGTTTCTGTGTGCTGCTCTCTCGACGTCCAAGTGGATAGGAATTTTAAAGTTCGATGCCGAGTGCGCTCGTTTTTTGATTTTGTGTGTGCTACTGCTGCAGTTGCTGCGAAGCTATCTCGACATAATTTTAATTCTAATCGATAAAGGATACCGAAAACCTCAGTGAAACATTAAATCTGAAAACGCGTAGTTGATAAAAATTTTGCAACATTTTTTAATAGTTTTTAATTGCAATAAATTATTAATTAGTACAAAGAATTTTTAATTGAAAATTAATTCGAGTAGTTTTGTTGCAATAATAGTCTAATGAAACTGAACAATTGACTTTTTTTCCTGTTTCACACTTGCGCGCGTACACGAGCATACAGACGCGCTCACTTTTTTTCAATACCTCGGGTCAATAATCCAAAAAAAAAAAAAATTACTTGGATTCGATCCGCACCGCGACAAAACACGAAATTAACCTCGGATTCGACGTTGTTTTTTTTTGCAGTAATAATCGGTGAGCAAGGATGTCGGCAGCCGGACCGGAAATGGTGACTGGCACCCTGGCCACGGCCTCGGCCACTGGCGCCTTCTCGGCGACCAGCGTCTTCTTCACGCTCCTCGTGCCAGCCCTGGTACTCTACTACATCTACTTCAGGGTGACCAGACGCCACATGATCGAGCTCGCGGACAAGATCCCCGGACCCACTGGATTCCCCCTGATCGGCAACGCCCTGGAACTTCTCGGCAGCTCCGACAGTGAGTAGAAAAAAAATTATATAATTGTATTTTTTTTCACGCCTTTTCGTTGCTTAACTTGACTTTACTTTTTCAACAGCCATCTTCAAGAACGTCTACAAGAGATCGTTCGAGTTCGACCAAGTCATCAAGCTGTGGATCGGACCGAAACTCGTCGTCTTCCTGATCGACCCGCGCGACGTCGAGGTCATCCTCTCCAGTCACGTGTACATCGACAAATCGCCCGAGTACAGATTCTTCCAGCCGTGGCTCGGAAACGGTCTTCTCATCTCGACCGGTACGTATTTTATTTTAATTTGATATAACAAATTTACTCGATCGCGTGATCGCGTAGCCGCTTAATCGTTCGCAATCGAGCGAACGGATTTTTCTAGAATTATTTTTAAATCGCTCGATGGAATTAATAAAAGATCGACCGCGATGAATAATTAATTTTTTTTTTTTTGTTAGACTTTTTTCCGTCTATCGGAAATGTGAAAAAGAATTCACACGAATTAAGAAATCGCGACGACGCGCAAATCGTAGCATGAATAAAACTCATTGTCTTTTTTTTTCTTCGTCTTCATGCATAATTAATGGACGATCGGTGTATTGTTTTCGGGATCGTGACACTTCCACTTTTTACATCGAGCATCGATAAGACGGTTGCGAATGTACTCCACTAAAAAAAAACAATCGATCAACAGGCCAGAAATGGCGCGCCCATCGCAAACTGATCGCCCCGACCTTCCACTTGAACGTGCTGAAGAGCTTCATCGACCTGTTCAACGCCAACTCGAACGCCGTCGTCGAGAAGCTGAGGAAGGAGGGCAATCGCGAGTTCGACATCCACGACTACATGTCCGAGACCACCGTGGAGATCCTCCTTGAGACCGCCATGGGCGTGTCCAAGACCACCCAGGACAAGAGCGGCTTCGAGTACGCCATGGCCGTCATGAAGTGAGTGATCGATACGCATCGATTAAACGAAAAGAAAAAAAGAAATGGATCATGAAAATTTTCATTTTTCCTTCCGCTCAGGATGTGCGACATCCTCCACTTGCGTCACACTCGCGTCTGGCTGAGACCCGACTGGCTGTTCAACCTGACCAAGCACGGCAAGGAGCAGGTGAAACTGCTCGACATCATTCACGGCCTCACCAAGAAGGTCGTCGCCCGCAAGAAGGAGGACTACAAGAGCGGCAAGCGCAACTTCGTCGAGGTCTCGAAGGAGCAGGCCAAATCCACCACGGTGGTCGAGGGCCTGAGCTTCGGCCAGTCGTCCGGCCTCAAGGACGATCTCGACGTCGACGACAACGACGTCGGCGAGAAGAAGAGGCAGGCGTTCCTGGACCTGCTGGTCGAGGCCAGCCAGAACGGCGTGGTGCTGACCGACGAGGAGATGAAGGAGCAGGTGGACACCATCATGTTCGAGGGCCACGACACCACGGCCGCCGGCTCGAGCTTCTTCCTGTCGATGATGGGCTGCCACCCCGACATCCAGGAGAAGGTCATCCAGGAGATCGACGAGATCTTCGGCGACAGCGACAGACCGGCCACGTTCCAGGACACCCTGGAGATGAAGTACCTCGAGCGTTGCCTCATGGAGACGCTGCGCATGTACCCACCGGTACCGATCATCGCTCGCGAGGTCAAGACCGACCTCAAACTCGGTTAGTATCGATCGATTCCTTTATTTTTTCTACCATTATTCAGTATGGCTCATCGTAATTCCGTTTTGCGCAGCGTCGGGAGACTACACGATCCCCGCGGGCTGCACCGTGGTCGTCGCCACCTTCAAGCTGCATCGCCAGCCACACATCTACCCCAACCCGGACGTCTTCAATCCGGACAACTTCCTGCCCGAGAAGACGGCGAATCGCCACTACTACGCCTTCGTGCCGTTCTCCGCGGGTCCGCGCTCCTGCGTCGGCCGGAAGTACGCCATGCTCAAGCTCAAGATCCTCCTGTCCACCATACTGAGGAACTACCGCGTCAAGTCCACCGTCAAGGAGGAGGACTTTAGGCTCCAGGCCGACATCATCCTCAAGCGCGCCGAGGGCTTCAAGGTCAAGCTCGAGCCGAGGAAGCGCGCCGGCGGCGTCAAGGCTTAAATTAAATTTCTAATTGTTAATAATAATAAAAAAAAAATTACTGTTACTTTTATCAATTTACTTTTTTTTTTTGCAACCTAGAAGATTAATCGATTGATTGTTTTTCGAATGTACTTGTATTTTTTTTGTTCGTTGTCCCGAATTCGATGAAAAGACAGAGAGAAAGAAGATTTGTAACGACGTGCCTTTGAAAAATCATTGTACACGCTCAATATACGCAACGACAGTTACCCATTGCTCGGGAGTCGCAGGCGCAATCGACATCGCGCTTGTTAATTAACTTTAACATCGTGTGGTTGTATAGAAAAAAATCCTCTTATTATGTTTTCGTCGTTATGAAGGGGTGTTGTTAGATAAATTTGATCGATGAAATAAAAAAAAAAACTTTATACGGCCGAATACGATGTGCAAGCATGTTGTCTTTTTTCTTTTGATTCCATACTTTCTTTTCCACGAAACATTTGAGTAACTTTAGGTCTCGTCCCTCTTTATCCCTCTCCTTTGATTAAGCCCGAATAAATAGCAAAAATGCGATTTGTAGCTATTTTTGTTTTTGTATATTCTCTTCGAGCTATTAGAAAAAAACTTGCCGAATGGAATGCAGATTTTTATGTAAAATCAGATATAAAAATTAGAGTCACTGGTTTTATTTACATAAACTTACAAAAAATGTATGAAAATGCAATCATTTACATTAATTTTAAAAGAAAAATGAACGAAAAAAAACCGAAATTATACATTCAAATTCAAACGCCTTTTAATCGATCATTTAAAGCAGCCTCCGCCGCTAGATGGCGAGTATCTTTACCTGTAAATCTGCAAGTGGCAGAGTACAAATAATTATTTAAGTAGCAGTTAATAAAAATTTTAAATCCATCTACCTAATTTACATCATGAGGTTATAAGAAATAACGACAAATATAACAATGATTTTTCGAACGTTGTAAAAATTCGTTTTACTATCCATTTTGAGGGTAATTTTTACAGAAAGTATGTACAATAGCGACGAGCCAACTCTCGAGCAAAATTTTACACAGAAAACGCCGAGAGAACGAAGAAAACATTCAAGTCTTGACGAACATGGCCTCGATCTCTTTGAGCGACTTGTTCCTCGTGTCGGGCAGCACGAAGCAGAGCAGCGCGAAACCCGCCAGCGTGGCGCAGCCGTACAGCAGAAACGTGCCCCAGGGCAGTATGGCGCCGAACAGATAGGGATTCACCTTGATCACCGCGAAGAACAGGAAGAAGTTGTAGGTCGAGGCCAATCCCACGCCCACCTCCTTGTGGGCCGAGGAGAAGAGCTCGCCGCAGTAGGTCCAGGGCAGTGGCCCCAGACCGGCTATGCAGGCCACCTCGTAGCACAGGAGCAGCGCGAGGGGCGTCCAGGTGGGTATCCAGCGGGACTGCTTCAGTACGATCGAGGCCGAGAGCAGACAGAGAAAGACGGAGCAGGCCAGGGCCGAGGCCAGATAGAGGCGTCGAGTGCTGTAGCGCCTGGTGAGGGCCGTCAACGAGAGCGAGGCCACGAGGCGCGAGGCGTCCAGGCCCAGTGTGCCCAGGTAGGCGTTCTCGGGCCCCGCGAGCTCGGAGATCATCTGGACGCAGTAGTAGGCGATGGCGCCCATGCCGCTGAACTGCGCGCAGCCGAACATGGCCAGGACGATGCCGAGCGGTTTCCAGAACGCCGCCGTGTCGTACTCGACCTCGCTTCTTTCAACGCCACTTTTATCGTGAGCGAGCAGGAGCGACTCGAGCTCGGCGATGTCCCACCCGTTGCCGCGCTGGGCCTGCCAGGCCAGCACAGCCTCGGCCGGCCTGCCCCTCCTCGACAGCCAGATCGGGCTCTCCGTGAGCAGTCCGGCCGCGAGGCCGAGGCTCGCCAAACTCAGCAGGCCACCCACGCCCGCGGTGCTGCGCCACGAAAACCAAGTGCCCAGTGCGTGACAGAGCAGCAGTCCTAAGCTGAACGAGACGGCGCAGGCCGCGTTGAGGGTCGGCCTGAGCCAGGCCACGCTGCACTCGGCCTGATAGACCGGGACAAGAGCCCCTAGGAGACCGAGGCCGAGGCCGCTGAGACTGCGCGCGATGAGCACGCAAGCGACATTGGGCGCCCAGGCGAGTAGCAGCCAGCCGGCAGAGAGCAGAGCCACGGCGGAGCAGAGGAGAGGTTTGCGACCGAGGCGACGCGAGCTCGCCGCCAGGAGCCAACTGCCCGGACACATGAACAGGGCCATGCTCGAGGCGACCCACGATTGAAGCTCCACCGAATCGAGGTGGATGAGGGGTTGGCCGAACAGCTCGCCCTGCTCCAAGAGGAGACTGTAACGATCGTCGTCGGTGGAATTGGTCGTCGTCGTCGTCGTCATCTGCTGGAGCAGTATGGCGCTGTGGCCGTTGGCCATGCCGCACAGCATGATCGTCAGCAGGAAGTTGGCGTTGAGGCTCCACTGGCGCCGGAGCAGCGCCGATCGGCTGTCCCGTTGCTGCTCGTGATCGGCATGAACTTTGGCCGTGGCGAGCAGCTTCTGCACAACATCCAGCTCCTCTTCATCACTCCGGCTCTTTTCATCTGCACCGACGAGTCAATGAATTTTTTTTTAATCTATTTTTTTGACATTTCACGTACCTGTCATTGGGCACACCTGCCTGGAGCCCTGCTGCCTACGACTACCGACCAGCAACTAATTTGTGGGTAGAGGAACTTTGAACGCGGAAGCGACGCGGAAAAACTTATCATCGCGTCGTCGTATTGCGTCGTGCGTACCGCGCGAGATCAAAGCAATAAATCATAGGCAGCTTGATTGAAATTTATTGCCTATTACCGAATAAGTTGCCTCTCTATTTGTGTAATAATAACGTTTGAATAAAATATTTCCTCGTAATTGTCTATCACAAAGTTTTAATTACAATACATTGACTAAAAAAATAATTAAGATTAAAGCTATAAACTAAAAATTAAGAATTAAGACAATTTAAAAATCACGTCCGTTTGGTAAACATCGTCTCGATCTCTATCAGCGATTTGTTACTCGTGTTGGGTAAAATGCAGTAGAGACTGCAGGCTCCGACGAGGGTCGTCAGGCCGTAGAACAAAAATGTGCCGGCGGGCCCGAGCCAGGCGAAGAAGTACGGCGAGGTCTTGACGACGATCGACAGCACGAGATAATTGTAGCTGGTCACAATGCCGATGCCCAGCTCCTTCGTCGCGGGTGAAAACAGCTCGCTGCAGTAGGTCCAGGCCAGGGGCAGCAGGCCGATACTGATGGCCACCTCGTAGCAGAACAGCAGCACCAGAGGCAGCCACGGGCCCGAGAGTCCGCTCAGGATCGCCCCGGCGAGCAGACAGAGAAAAGTCGCGGAGGCGAAGGACGAGGCCAGCGTGAGTCGACGGGTGCTGTGACGACCGCTCAGGTAGGTGAGCGCCAGCGAGGAGAAGAGCCGCAAAGCGTCGAGGGCCAGGGTGCCCACGTAGGCCTTGTCCTCGCCCGCGATCTCGCTCACCATCTGCATGCAGTAGAACGTGACGGAGCCCACGCCGCTGGTCTGCGCCACGGTGAACAGCAGCAGGATTATGCTGAGCGGCTTCCAGAAGTTGCGCGACGCCACGAGCTCGCGATATCTTCGGCACTTGGACTCCGCGGCGCTTCCGGATCTGGAGCTGGACTTGGCGAGTCGTCGGGCGTCGAGCATCGACTGGAACTCGGCGAAGCGCAGCTCGCCCCGCAGAAACATCCAGGACTGCTCGGCGTCCAGCGGGCGATCGCGCTGCACCAGCCAGACCGGACTCTCGGGCAGATAGCAGTTGGCCGCCAGCGAGAACAGGGCGAAGAATGTGGCGAGGGCCGAATTGGTGCGCCAGTGTATCCAGAGATCGAGCGTGTGACAGATGGCCATGCCGATGCTGAAGAAGACCGACTGTACGACGTTGTGCATGGCGCGCAGCTCGGGCGCGCTGATCTCGCCCTGATAGACGGTGCAGAGCCCGAGGAGGACGCCCATGCAGAGGCCGAGGGCGCAGCGACCGACGAGCAGCTGGTAGGGCGTCTCGGCGAAGGTGACGCAGAGCCAGGCCGCGACGAAGACGCAGTCGCTGATTAAAAGCAGAGGGCGACGACCGAGGCAGCGCGTGCACGCGACCATGATCCAGCCGCCCGGACACATGAAGAACACGAGGGATGAGATGATCCAGGAGCGCAGCTCGAGCGACTCGACGACGATCTCCGGCTGGTCGAACAGCTCGCCACGATCGATCTTCCAGCTGTTCGTGAGATTCGAGCTTTTGGTGAGGGATAGAGGCGTCATCTGCTTGTCCATGATGGTGCTGAGGCCGAAGCAGAGGGCGCAGGCCAGGATGTTGGAGCAGAGCGACAGGCAGGTGAGGCTCTGGCGCAGGAAGACCTTTTTGCCGTCCTTGATGGCGGTGGCATTCTCGTCGATGTCGTCCGTGGCGTTCTCGAGACAGGCTACCGACACCTCTCGATTCGATTTGGCTGCAATTTCGTTGGGACGTGATTATTATTGTTATTTTTTTGTTGACATAATTTGAGGCGCGCACGTGCGTTGTGTGTGTGAGATATCGAGGCGCCACAGAACCGGATTCAACAATCTTAACTTCTGTATTAAACTAGTAAATTATGAGATTTATAGATAAAAATTACGAAGTGCAAAAATAGTTATTACGTCGAATCGCTGATTAAATTTCATCGTATCGCGAATGATAAAAACGGAAATTCGATGCTTTTGAGCCCGTAAACTTTTACCTTTATTAATTAACCATGGATCTTTCGCTGCACTTACCTGCGGTCGTCGACATGCTCGTCTCGATCAGATTTTCGTCGGTTTTCCGCGTCATCCGTCGTATGCGTTAACAATCGATGTAAGACGCGGCTGGGTGTAGCCGGATGTTCGATAGAACGACACACGCGCGGCTAGACTGCAAAAGGAAATCAACACATACTGAAATTATTATCTGGTGGCGGCGGCGGCGGCTCGTGTCTCCGCGAACGCCTATATAGCTCGAGCGAGCGTCTCGATAAAAGATTACCTTGCGCGGGCAGAGATAGAGATTAATATCGCTCTCGGGGATCGATTGACAATGAAATTGGAGCGCGCGAAAGGCGATCGGTGTAACTACCGACGATTGATTTTCACATTTTTTCACGCATTTCGTCCAACTCCGTAATAATGCGCAACGGGTTTTAAGTACATTAGACGAATTGGTGCACGATGCGCGCGTTCGACGAATCGATCGCCGATACAAGCATTTGTATCATTGCGAAATGTCAACAGATCGTGGAAAAAAAGTGCAGAGAGTGACGCGCTCAATCCCGACGATACGCATTGTCGAACTTATTTTATACCTGTATCATTGTATAAACAAAACCGCGAGTGATAATGCAAATAAAGACACTGGAAGATAACGAATTATCGCGTCTAACGAAAGTGCATAATATAATAAGTGTACTGTTTGTCCCGAGTCCAAGGTTTTCTCTCGAATATCGGTATGTGTGCCTATATATCAATGGTCATGGAATGTTTATCATTGCAATGAAACGAAATGTGAAAAACAGTCGACTGTTGCAAGTGCGCACGTGGTATTTTCGTGTACCGTAATAAGGAAGAAAAATTCGTGGATCGAGCGGAGGATCGAGAGAAGATGAGAGGAGACAAGGAGGCCCCGACCTTGACCACATGCACCGGTCGCCAGCTGCCGCGCGTCAAGAGGGAGCTGCTCGACTCGCTTCCGGTCCTCGATGCCGTTCAAGTTAGAAGGTTATAACGATAACAACAACAACGATGCCGAACGTTTTCCCATCTTACGAATGTGTAAAAACTTTGCGATATAATTATAGGCAGCAGATGCCCTACGGCCAGGCGATCGTGCTCGAGCTGCTGGAGCAGAGGGCCTACGACGTCGCCGAGTTCCTGACGCTGATGCTGAATCACGACATCGAGCTGCGCAACGCCGAGCCGCAGCTGCGCGAATGGACCGAGCCCTGCCTGATCGTCAACAAGGAGCTGATCGATCGGCTGCGTCAGGCCGTGCTCGCCTTCTTTTCCGACTTTGGTTGGTTGGTTGCTTTGTCTCTGTAAATTTGATGTAATGTCTCAAGAAAAAAATAATAAATATAATAATGCAGATTCGGTGAAGACGACGACGACGCCGCTCATCTCACTGGCCCGCGCGATCGAGGAGGACATGAGCGACCAGTACTGGTGGATCGCCGACGTGCTCTATCAGTGCGCCCTGTCGGCGGCCCTGGGCCAGCACGACCTCGAGCCCGACGACGAGTTCGTCGCGCGGCTGCGCTACACCTACGCCCGATTTCTCCACTACAAGCGTGAGTCAACAAAAAAAGAAAAACTATCGCATTATAATTTTTCTGCTTATTGACGCATCGATATACACACAGTGAAGAATCCACGAGCCGCCCTGGAGCACGCGAGGATCGCCAAGATGGACTCGTGCAACAAGTCCTGGACCCTCTACGGGGCGGATTCGGGCTACGAGCGCGACTGCCTGTTCAAGGAGTCGGTGCTGCTGCTGCACCACGTGCTGCTCGAGGTCGCCGATCGGGAGTGCGACCAGGCCTACGCCGTGAAATCCTGCGAGGCCGCCATCAAGAACGCTCACGATGGTGCGTTGTCCTTACACATTAAAGCAAGCAACGATTTGTTATACTATCGAGTATACGCACGCAGTGTGCAACGAGTTTCTCGAGTCCGAAGCGCACTATCATCTGGCGAGGAAGCAGCTGGCAGCGGGTCGCCTCGACGACGCCGTCAAAAACTTCAACGTCACCCTCGACATACTCGGCCAGGCCAAGAGCTCCCTGAACATCTGCAAGTTCCTCTGCAACGTGCACGAGAATCTCGCGCACATCTACAAGGTTCGCTTCCGTCTCGCTATGATAACAATGATATTTAAAAAAAGAAAGTGACCGACGATTTGGACAGATGAAAAAGGATACGAAGAGCTTCTGGAGGCACTTGCAAGAGCTGAAGAATTACGCCACCGTGTTTCAACTGCAACACCATCTCGCGCGAGCTCATCTGCTGGCCGGCGAGTACTACTTGACACAGGTGACGCGCGAGCGCGACGAGTAATTTTTTTTTTTTTTTTTTTATTACAAACATTTGATAAGGAATGAAGTGCTACGTTGCGCAGGATAACGCCAAGGAGGCGATCGTTTATTTGGAGTACGCCGTTGGCCTGTTCAAACGATTGAACGACAAGAGCGAGACGAGCCGAGCCGAATACTTCGTGAGCATCGCAAAAAGTACTCGAGTATATCGTTATATTTTGAAGATTCGGTTAAAATATGACATTTCACTCACACTCGTTGTTTGTTTTTTAATGTAGAAAATACTCTTTTTATTTTCGACTGTTTCTTTTTTTTTTTTTGTTCATCAATTACATTTCCTTCAAACCGCAACTTAAATTAAAGCTTGTCTTTGTAATGATTTATTACACAATTTTTCAAAATGAAGTTTTTTTCGCAAAACACGCTTGGACGCGAGCTCAACCCTGCGGCTTTTTGCGCGTAACTAAAGTAATTGAGAGAGACTACACTAATTTTCTGATAAACGTAGACTGTGTGACTTAATTCGAACTAAGTTTAAGCGTCGTGCTCATTTAAATTGCGGAAACAAATTGTTCGAATCATTAATAATTATATAATTCATCATACTTTGTACGAAATTGACTGTAAAATTTAGGACTTGATGTAATTGATTTTTATGTTCCGACTTATTAATGTAGATCTTTAAACGATAAAATTATAAAGTACTAAAAAATATTAACACTGGTCAAAATTTTACTATTAATTCGTACTCCGCTTACACTCTCACAAAAATTCACATCCTTTTTGTTCATTTTATTCTTTTTGTTCTATCATACTTGCAACTGTACTCAATCTTCATATTTACATTTATTGGCATAAAGTTAGATTCAAAGTCTCTAATGAATATATAGGTCGTATGATGCTTCAAGCTTATTTGGCTCTAATAGCAAGTAGTGGTGAAGGTAACAGTGATGCAATGTTGAAACTAAGTCACTGGAGAGATCGCGGCGAGCCATTCGACAGTGACATAACAAGTAAATAGATTTTTAATAATTTATATTTTTTTCAAATATATTTATATACACATTCACCGGACACACACACACACTGACTTATAATCTAAAAATCTACCAGTGAGTTGCGTTCGTTACATATTTTCATTAAATCCTAATGATTTACTTAGCTTAATATACAATTGAATCGATGATGTGATGTTAATTTATTTATTCATATCTTATTTAAAAAAACTATTTAACGTTAACTTAACGTAAGTATATAGAACTAATAATATAAGACCAGTTAAGAATTTCAATCCTCCAAACGAAAATGGAAAATACTTTAACCAAACAATATTTGACAAAGGCGCGTAGACTTATACTCGCATTCGATTAAAACATCAAATATTTTATCATTATTTTGGTCCATGTAATATCAATACTTTCGTAACCAGTTCGGTTCGGTATTTTATAAACACAAGTATTACAATAAATAAAAATACATCCTTTTTTATTCAGTCGATCAAGAATTTGACCACTTGCAAACTGGTGAAGAAGAGACATGGGAGGATGAAAGGGTAGCGTCAACGCCGTCAGGATTGGATAAAGCTGATTTGGGTGCCAACTGATACTAACAAAAAAGTTTGCTCTCTGCTTACTGATCTGCACTCCTTTTATCTCTATGCTCTATTACAGCGTTGGAATATCGCAATTTTGAACTGCAAAATAAAGTGTAGTCGTTATGAGTATACATTTTGATTACAAATTAACTTCTTTCAAAAAGCACAAAGACAATGAATAAAGTAAGCTTCACGTATATTTTTCAATCGTCAACTGAAATTTCTATTGATGAATGAATAGTATGAAAGAAATAGTGAATAGAACGAGACGTATTAGTTTTTACCAAACGATTTATTTCATTAGAAAAATATTAAATGACCAAGATTGAGATTCTACATCATGATCATACAGTTTGACACATACTATCACTGTGCACTCTAAATTAAACATATTTGATGAATATGATATTTACGAAGTATACATCAAGTTTTTTTTACCATTGAATAAAAATGTTGGTATGTGTAGCTTTTCTCGTGATTTTCATAGAATTGAATGAATGATTTATCATTACGTCAGAAGTCAAGAATAAAAAATGAAGTTGAAAATTGCATCTCTAATATTATATAAAAATTACTTTTGTTCATTTTCAGGAAATTAAATTCATTACGATGATCATTGAAAATGATTAATATTTTAATTTGTAACTTATTAAAATAGTGCTAAATTTATTCATGATTTCATAAAATGGACATAACTGCAACTTGTCACATAATTGTTAAGTAAAATAAAGAAATAAATAAAATAAAGATTTAAATCTGATATAGATTGATACCAGTACTTCTTACTATGCAAATTATTTGATAAGGTATGTATAGTAGCTAAGTGTATGTACAATTTACTAAAATACAATGAAAGTTCATTTCATAGAATTTACATAACAAAATGTTAACATTTTTTCCATTTTAAAACATTTGTGTGACATTGTCAATCATATTAATTCAGCCATTGTCACCATTGAATAATAACCACAGGATTGTTCATAAACATTAATATTAGAATAACTACATGAGTAGAGTATGTATATGAAAGTTTTTAAAGCATACCAAAACCAATAAAGTGGAATGTGAATAAGAAGAGTTAGATGTGATTATATGTGCATAGGAAAAATGTTTTGTTAAAAAATGAAATAAAGACGTTGGATTTACAAAATAATTAAAAAGAAATAAACAATTGATCAAAAAAAACAAAAATCAAAAAATAAAAAATTTTTGACTAGCTTTAAATTATAGATAATTCAATCAAAAGATATCTTCATCATCACTAATTGGATCTAAAGAAGGCATGTCTTTACTCATACAATTATTTTGAAAATTAACTATTACAGGTTTACCGGACTCAAGGATTGTTTTATCAACAGTTATGGCAGGAATTGATTTAGTTTGTAAATCCAAAAACCTTTGTGTTTCAATATTAATATTTGGCCTCAAATGTGACACATCAATAATGCAGTTACCGTTATTTTCAAGTTCTTGAACTTCGTCTTTCTTCAAACCATCATGGACTGACTCCTCTTCCATAACATCAACATTTTGTTGAATAACTTTTGTGTCAACTTCAATGTCTATCTGTTTTTTGGGTGATTGACTATCTTCTTCAACTTCATCTACTACCTGAAGTCCTTTGCGTCTCATTAATTCCTCTAAACTTTCTTGATTTAAAGCCTCATCTTCTGTATTATTATCATTATTTTCGTCACCTTGACGTGATTCATTTCCATTTTCGTGGACTTCTTTACAACTTCTATCGTTTTTTGTAACGCTTGATTCTACCAAAGTGTTTGAGGTATTTTCCACTTCATTTTCATTACTGGTCATTTCAATGTCTGTATTATTTGAACTTCTCACTACTAATTCGTCACTTTCTGTAAGAGCTTGTTGAACTTCGTCATGAGCTGTAGTGTCTGTAACATGAGATTCATCTTTTTCTACTACAGTAGCGTTTTCATTTTCTGTGGGCTGAGGTGAATCATCAAAGTTAACGATTACTCTTCCTCCTGAATCCTCATCATTATCCACTACTGGAGAAACTGAATTAACTTCACACAGAGGGCTACCTTCATCATCACCTGAATCGCTACCATGAGTTTCTGCTACAGACTTATTTTTAGATAATTCAACAACTTCCTTAGCTTCATTTAAATTACTGTTGTCCTTTTTGTCTTCAGCTACATCATTTTCTTTGCTTAATGCATTTGAATCAGTAACTTTAGGATCAACAGAATTAGACTCATCTTCAGATTCAACTTTTTCCTTTTTTTCAGATTCATCTTTTGATTTTGAATCATCAATATTTTCTATTTCAACTGTTGATTTTTTGTCTATATTGTTCGCATTATTAAATTTACTTTTGTCTTGTTCTTTCTCCTCTGTTCTGTCATTTGATTCATTGGTCATATTTACATCTTGTACACATTCATCATTTTCATTTTCAGAATTGATGTTATTCTCTTCTTGTTCACTCTGTTCAAGATTTTTAGTCTGCACATTTTCAATGATTTCAGTAGTTTCCTTTTTTGATTTATTTTTATTATGATGTTCATCTGCATCAGAATCACTCCTTAGTTTAATTTCGGAAATTTTAACTTGTCGCAATTTAATTTCCATATGGGTAAGTTCATGTTGAAGTCCAAATATTTTATTTTCATAGACTTTATCACAAATTTTACAAGTGTAGCTCTGTTCAGTTTCTTCTTTAACTGAATTTGCCTCATCTGTGTCTGAAATTTCAATACTTTCTACAACTTTGATTGATGCAGATTTCAATTTCCTACTTGATCTTCTTGAAGATTGTGTCGAAGATGCAATTGAAGATTGTCTGCTACTGCGTCTGGAAGTTTTTCCTCGTTTCGAATTTTCTTTATCTTTTACATTAGAATTTTCAAAGACATCACTTTCATCATTTGTATTTGTAACATTATTATCATCATCATCATCATCTGTTTTGGTGGTATCCATTTCTATAGTAGTATCAAATTTATTTGTTTCATTTACAACATCTCTTGTTTCATCATCAGTAGCCTTTAAAATATCTATTTCTTCAGATTCTGATGTTACCATTTTTTTACGTTTAGAAACTTTTGCAGATGATTTACAAGAAGTTTTACCTGAATCAGAAACTTTACTACTATCACTATCACTCGATGCAATTCTATTATACCTTGGTCTTTTAAAATTTTCTTTATCTTGATTAGGTGAGTCATTGCTGTTCAAATCCTCTTGTTTTTCATCATTAGAATCATCTTCAATGTCTATAACCTCTTCTATTTCTCGATAATTTTGTTTCCTTTGAGTACGTGAAGATTTTCTTGAACTGGAAGATGAATCTAATGAGTCATTATGTTCTCTTTTTCTTACAGACCTTCGAGATGAACGTGGTGAAGTTGTAGAAGATTTTTGAGTCTGAAGTAGCGATAAATTTGTAGATTTTCTAAGTCTTTTTGATGGTAAAACATCACTATGTACGTCACTATCGACTTCAATACTACCATAATTTCTTTTATTTTGTGACTTTTTATTTTCAGCAGGTGAATCTGGTTTTTTTTGTTTAGCTGTTTCAGTTTTTCCTTTTCTCTGTGAGCTTGATTCAATTTCTTTTAGTTCTAAGCTATGAGGACGTCTTTTCGCCCTGGTACTTCTTAATGGCGTATCTAACTCATCACTTAATTCTGGAGTCCTAGATTTATTTCTGCTTGATTTTGACAAGCGCTTATAACCACTGGTTTCACTTTCAGGGCTCTGAGCTTTCATATTATTTGAATTCATAACCTTATAACAAACTGCACCCTTTTTATTTATAACTTTATTGTATCCTTTTTCTTCAAGTCTCTTTAAAACATCATCAACCAAAATAGAACACCATTTAGTTAGTGGGTATTCAATCATCTTTCGTTTTGATTTGGATTTCATGTTGGTTTTGATTGGACTATATTTATGCCAACATTGCTTGCAAACTCTAACACCAGTTTTGTGAATTTTATAAGTATCATCACTGGTAATTGCAGTTTTGCATTGTTCACATTTTATGTTTGAATCTACTGCAACAGTTTTACGCAATTTTTTCGGTCTCTTAGAGCTACCCATGCTGCTGAATGAGTCACTATCACTTGAAGATGGTGTAGTTAAATGTAATACAGCTGATTTTATAGAAGTGGTCTTGCGATTGATAATTAACGTTTTAGTCTGAAAAATAAATTAATAAAAATGTGAATGATCCCAACAAATCAATTCAGATACAATCAAAACATCAGAGATTTGGTATAATACCTTGGGGACATTGGAAACATCTATGCCATTTTTAATATTAGCAAATTTACTATCAGCTTCGTTAGCTAAATTTTTCAAATCATACAGTAAATCTACAGAGTATCGGCAATTCAGGCAAACACATGGACTTTTTGAGTGCGTATTAGCATACTGTAAATAAAACAAGAAACAGTTAAATAAATTAAAATAATTAAAATTATAACAAATTTCTTACAATCATAAATACTTACAACATTTTTGTTAAATAGATTATGAGCTCTATCTAAGAAAGCTCTGTCCTTGGTATTGAGTCTGGATAATTTAAACAAAGTTTGGTTGTTCTTTGTGCATGGCTCAAAGCACAAATTGCAAGTGTTTGCAGCAAACTTTTTGTTGTGTAATTTACTGATTTTGTCAATAAAGACACTACATTGTTTAATTTCGAAGGCACATTTGTGACAAATTTTATTTGACAAGCTATTATCATGAATCTGAAAAAGATTGATTAAATTAATACCTCATAGGATCAACATAAAAATTAATGATCTATCAATCAGTAAAGTTAGTTTTCATAAATAAACGCCAGAAAAAGTTAATCACGAATCACGAAAGAACGAAGTAAAGTCACCGTTCGCGACACAATAGAGAGCATTACCCAGAGGCTGTTGGACGATATACCTCGAGTCACAACAAAGCTTCGCAATCACCGCCGACACGCACAAGCATTCCCCAATTATCCCGTTACATCAACTACAGTTTTTTTTTTTTATAAATCCTCGCTGAAACGCATCCGATGCACAGACGAGTTTGTCGGCGCGTACAGGCGTCAGATTCGCGAATAATATGCTTCACTGTCGACGATAATAATGTGCATATAATGTGTAGCAGCAGCAGCAGCAGCCTCACATAAACGTAACCGGGCACTGTGCAGGGGGTAAGTGTAGTCGTGCAAAATGCAATACGATGCTGCTAATGCAGTTGGTGTTTGGCGCGTGCGCGGCTGCTGCTCCGTGTTTTAATATTTGTTGTGCCTTTCGGAAGACTCGATCATTGGCGTAACGAAATTTGCAGCAAAATAACGCGATTTACGAGGCCAGCGATGCTGAATGATGTATAATTTACCGATGCTGATACAGCGAAAAGATGCACTAATTTATGTAAAGCGGAGCTGAGAATTGGCGAGGATGGCTGACCCCGCGCACTACATACATAATAATAATAATCGTCGATCGTCGAATTACCGGGTGGTCTCACATCACACACACACACACACAGCTCGATAAGCGAGAGCTACTACTACCTCGCGTTATTCAGAAAACGAAAACTATGCAGTTGCACAGGAATGTTTCGTGCGAGTGAATATTTAGATTAATTGCAGGCTGCGTACGTACATAACGAGCTCTTGGATTTGACACAATCACAATTCGACGGTATAGAAGTGCCAATCGATGTCGAGTACAATGCACTAGTTACGCGACTGACTTTAATTATAATTCCGTACAGCCAGCAACTTTGCTGCTGCTCCAAGCTGCCCAAGAACGAGAGAGATAGATGCACTCCGGCTGCAACGAGCTACGTGCTGCACTTTCTCGCGAGTAAAAAAAACGCAGCGAATGCAGGCAAAAAAAACCCTTCTATACAGAGGCTCTCTGTTTTATTGGAGACGCAGACGCTCTGCGCGTAAGACTCCGCGCCGCGCCGCATGCATGCCGCCAGCAGCAGCAAGCAGCAGAGAGCAAAATCGAGCGCGTATCGATGACAGTCAACCGCGGTGATGCCGGTCAATAACAACCAAGAGAATTACGAGAAGCGTAGTAGTACTATAATAATGGCGCACCTGACTGCAGAAAATACACACACTCGCACACACGCACAAACAGCGGAGCGCGCGCGAGACTCCGAAAAATAAATGAAGAACAATCGAGCCCGAATTGCGAGCTATAACGTAACGCCCGGCTTGATAGTTGAAAATGAAAAGAGAAACGAGTGATAGACAATTAACGTCCTATCTGAGATAAGGAACCGTGGGAAATTTTTTACTTTCTCCTATTGATTCGTTATCACCGACTGTAGACTACGCCGAACGCACGCACGCACACAGACTCGCGATAACGCGCATGCCCTCGTCCTAACCTCAAATAATTTCAAAACCTGTTACGCTGGAAGCGGTTTGCCCGCCGCCGCCTCTGCCGCGCCGGAGATATAGCCCTTCGGAGTCTTCTTCGCCCACGATTCAAAATTGCGCGATTTCGTTCGTGCGTACGCGAAACGTCGCGTCCGAAGTACGACGATAACGGAGAGAGAGAGTATCGTAGTAAACTCACCTCGCTCAGAGCCTCGTTCTTGAACATTGGCAAGAAGCCACCCTCGTCGCTGACGCAAATGCGACACAGGTCCTGCTGCTGCTCCGACATTGTGTTGGTACGTAGGCGAGTTCAACGAGAACAACGAGAGAAAATGCCCCACGAAAACGATAACGAAAAAAAAAAAAAATAATAATAATAAATGAGAGAGAAAAGAAAAACTACGGAGAGAGCCGATTACGCGATTGTTATTCGCGACGAAGACACACGTGCATCGGTAGGCCCCGTGCAAGAAATACTGAGAAAAACGATGCGTCGTCGCGAACCCCCTGAAGGTCAGAGACACGGAGAGAGAGAAAGAATACACACAAACACACGTTCGCGGCACACCGAGAACGCATAAACAACGTAAATTCACATGTAACACACAGATACTATACACACAGATACTACGCACGGACGATCCGCTGTGAGCGCGAGACCGAGAGCGACTGAACTATCTAGGTGTGTGTTCGCTCCGCGATGTCTTATAAGATTTCGCACACACGCAAAAACACAACGCGCGCTTCGGAGCAACAGAGCGGTATACGATACACGCATACACACACACACGGGGGGGCACACGAGGAAGGGAGCAGTGAACCGATGGCGGGAAATCTCTCGATACCGTTCCGTTCGTTTATAAGCTGCGGGTTGGTAAAGGTATTTTGTAGTTTGTACATCGGAGTCGGGATGCGGCGCTGATGCAGCAGTACCAGACACTACTGCTCGTATCTAATTCGAAAAATTTGCTTACTTTTATCGTTCCTTATGTATCTTTTCTTTATTTCTTTATGAAGTTTATAAACGTATAATGTGTCTCGCAAGGAAGCAGGATTAGCTTTCGTCGATGACGCAATCGCTAAAATTAAACAGCGACGACTCGCGTTGAAATGGTAATAACGATCGAGTTTATTATTGACATTTTTTGTGCTCGATTTTTTTGAATCTGTCTTGTTCGATCCTGTCGGAAGAAGTTCGATGTATAACGGATGACTCTGCCCAATCGACGAAAAATTCATAAGTGTCGTTTGACAGTATATGCGTGTTGGGCGACTCGAGAGAATAATTCTTTTTACGGCGAGAAGTGGATGATCGCAAATTGTACAAGACAAAACAAGGTATTTATGTTTAGTTTTGTACGTTACGAGATATCCAACTCTCTCTTACTTATGCATATACGATAATACATAGAATACGTATGCGCTGTATATGCCTATACATTGCGAGACTCTACGCACTATCATGCATGTTTTAAAATCTGATATTTTTACATTTTTAACTAATTCTCTCAGAACCTTCATTTCGAATTTATTTTCGCATAAAAGTCTAAAAAGTTCTGATTATTTGCATAAATATTAACACGATTTCTAGACTTTACGAGCATCTAGATAATGTAGGGAGACCTATTTTCTTTTTAGTAATTAAGAGCATTACATTCCATCTCGTTTGTAGTGGTACTGGGGTAAATATTCGTTGATAAAAATCACAGGTCTAGTAGATATTTCATTGATTTCTTTTTAATTTACTTGTAGATGATAATTTTATTGGACTCAGATTTTTCAGGGGCAGCAAAAATGTATATCTTTTATTCGACTTCAATCATATCATTTATGTTAATCTGTATTCCTAGTCAATTGTTGAGCAATGCGCTAGTTATGAATTTCATACAGAAAGGTAAAATTAGCCAAAACATCTTTGAGCAAAGATAAGGTGTTAAAAGTACAAAATAATTTTTTAATGTTATCCCAGTAGCTGCATCGATTTACACAAGTACCCACCAAAAACCCGGGTTATCTTAATGATGATGAGGATGAAAACAACGAGTACCTAAGTACTACGAGCTGGACCAATATATGAATTAAATTTTAAAACGTTCAGTGTAGTAACTATATCGTTTCAATTATAACTAGAAAGTCAAAATTAATGGTAACAATCGTATTTAATTTTATAGGTGTTGAAAAGTTCATTTTCATTTGTCGCAACTTTTCGATCATTGTATGACTGACTTTAAGAGCTTTGAATAATAAGTAAATAAATATTTAGCTACTTTATCCAACTTGAAAAAAAATTGAATAATACAAACAATGTACGTCGTGAAACTGTAGTCATGCGCTGTTGTTTATAAACAATGAAAGAAGCGACTATACATTCAAATTAAATATATATCAAATGTGAAATTTTTGCAGCATATACACCTGCCTAGTTAGATACGCGGACCTCGAAAATTTGCGATCGATTAGTCGCTTCTTTCACTACCATACCAAAATATTAACATACCAAAAGCGCGTCAAGATCGAAGACATACGTGCGGACGAAAATTTAAAAAAGTATTATTTTGACCCACATTTATTTTGTATAAATTCATTTGTATGACTATATACTTTTCGTTTTTTATCATCGCATTTCAATTATTGACTTTGAAGCCGAATAATAAAACGGTCCTATAATATCTCAAGATTAACAGAAGAAAAATTTATTGTCAAGGAAGTCGCACGGGCACTAAGGGTAAAATATTTACTAAGGATATATGTCAGGCATATCTTCGTTTAATTTTTCATAAAACTATCGACCAACTGTTTTATTTGTTTAATTGATACTGTGCCATTTTTATAGGCGTTAACATGTCTGATCAAATTGTCATGGATGAACATCAACTGACAACACGAATGTTAAATTTAATGCAAATGTCTCGACTCTCTTTAACCACAAAGACACTGCAGATTTTTTTCCTTTTACCGTATCAAAATAAATTTATTCATTATATTGGAAGATTATTAATTGTTCTTTTTCTATTAGTCTCTTTTGCTTTCACGGTAAGTACTTTTCATAAAGTATAACAATTATTTCAATTTCAGGTAACGTATTTATAGGGCGTAAAGGTACTTGAAGCTTTTAAAGAGACCAACACCAGCTTAAACACTTTAGCCGAATGCATAATTCAATTGTCGCTTAATTTAAATTACATAGTTGTTTACGTGATTATAAGTTTTAAAATCAAAAGGGTATAATCATATGAGTCTTATTATCATTATTTTATAAAATAGCTACCTAACTGATTTTCTAATAATGATGCACGTTTTAGGTAGCCACAGTAATGAAAATAATATTAGATTTATACGAGAGCTACGATGAAGTAGGCAAAGATATAATAAGAAACGTTCTTAAAGTAGCTATAAAACTCATTCGTTATGGCGCTGGTATTTATTTCATTTCCCCAAAGACAAGTTTTTAAATTTATTTTGATATATTTTTACAGTGTCATTGTTCATGTTATGCACTAATTACGCTGTAACTCCAGTAATTGTTCCTATTTTTTTATCATGGATATTGCCCGAAAATCAAACCATTGGCAAAGCTCTACCGCTCAAAATGGAATGTTTCGTTGATGAAACCAAATATTTTTATTACATTTTCGCATATCATTTTTTAGTTATAATGGTCTTTTGTTGGTTTGCCATATCATTCAATAATCTTCAATGCATCACGATAGGATTCATCATTGCACACATTCATTGTTTACGGTATGTCAATCCGTTAAGTATCCTTTATAATTAACTCTATCTGCTGCTCTGGAAAATAATTTAACGAATTAAGCCAATATTAACTTCAGATACTACTTGAATGAAATAGATATTGAGTTTGAACAGAACGAAAAACGAAGAAACATTTCAGAACAGAAAGAAGTGGACAGAAAACTTATACAACTGATTCACCAACATCAAAGCTGCATCAAGTGAGTTATTTTTTATTGATTGATAGAGTAAGTTAAAATTACTTATCAACGTTCTGAATGCCAAATGAATTTCTAGACTTTATGAGAATTTGGATATTATGGGAAAACCTTTGTTTTTTTGTTCAATTACAACCATCACATTCAATCTCGTGTGTTGTGGCACTGCGGTAAATATTCCGCGATAAAAGTCACGGGTCCAAAAAATTATATAATTTTTTTTAATTTACTTGCAGATGGTAATTTTATTAGATTCAGATTTTTCAGGAGCAGCAAAAATGTTTATCATTTATTCGTGTTCAATCATATCATTTATGTTACTCTGTGTTCCTAGTCAATTGTTGAGCAATGCTAGTTATGAATTTTATAAAGAAAGGTAAAATTAGCCAAAACATCTTTGGAACAAAGATAATGTGTTAAAAGTACAAAATAATGTCTGAATATTATTCCAGTAATTGCATCAATTTTCACAAATACCCACCGAAAACCCGGGTTATCTTATTGATAATGATGATGAAAATATCGGATACATTTGTACTCCGAGCAGGACCAATATATGAATTGAGCTTTGAAACTTTCAGCGTAGTAATTTCATCGTTTCAATTACAACTAAAGAGTCAAAATTAATTTTAATAATCGTATTTAATTTTATAGGTGTTGAAAAGTTGTTTTTCATTTGTCACAACTTTTCGATCATTATATGCCTCGCTATAAGAGTAAATTCACAGCTAAGATACTCGATATCTTTACCAAAACATGTATAAGCTATAAGTAATAATTAAATAAATATTTAGCTACTTTATGAAACTTGAAAAAACAATTAATTAATCTTAATGATTGTGAATTTTTACGAGTTTTTTCTAATAAGTTTGATTGTTTTTTAGATACTGCATGGATTAATTTTGAGTATTTACGTTCGACTGCCTCAAAAAATGATAATTTCTTATTTTTTAAATCTTTTAAGCAAATTAAATAGTTTAATCATGTTAAAATTAAATCGTGACAATTTTACAATGTTAAAATGGTCACTATTTCCCTTATATGTGCAATGTTGAATTTTTCAAATACATGTTTTATTACGCATTCTTTTTCTTTAAAAATAACTTTAGGTGTAAAGACAAAGCAGCGACATATTAGTAATAATTTAAGAAGTCTTAGAAGTTTACGTCAAAAAAGTTTACTCGGTATGTTCTTCATGAATTCTTCATGAATTTTTACACAAAAACTATATAGACTCAAACTGAAACTTTTTGAACGAATCCCAAAAAATTCATTGAAAAACAAATAACTTATTAATTTGTTGACAATCTCAAAACGATGCCGGAAATACAATCCACTTCTACAAACAGTGAGACCCAACAGGATCAAACTCACTTTCAAGCCTACATCACACGTCGAGCTTCCTACGCGCCAGTGAAGCTTTTTGCGATACTTAAAATAGAAAAATTGAAGATTTTAAGTCGCACGTAATGATTCGGCTTCCGTCAATGGAAAATGAATTTAGTTCTTTGATTTATGCCTCCCATAGCTATATTCATACTTCCTATTAAATAATCGTTTATAAAGTGTGATATAAACGATTGAAATATTATAGAATTATCGATATAAGTAATAAGTATGTTTCAAGTCCAAAAATAATTATTTTGACTTTGTAGATGTTATTACTTCAATTCTCGTTTTTAAATGTCAAGAAATGTTGTTCGCCCAGATGAAATACCCGCCAAATTATTTTGTTATATTTCTTCATAACAAATCTTCACAACAATATTTGTTTACAGTAAGATAATCATTCATATAAATAAACTCGATTCTAGAAATTTGAACTTTTTCCAACAATATTATAATTACGCTTACTCTTGTACAGATGAATTTAATTTATTTAATACAATCTTATGGGCTAGTCCTCGTCAAAACGGTACTGCACGTTCGCGTGTCATTGCGCGAGGTTTATCAAAAATTCAGTAGCCAACTAAACTGTCGCTCCGTTTAAAAAAACTCTCGATTGATCGTTGCACGAAGAGTTGCAGTAATGAAGTAGCCGCAAAATTCACGGACATAAGTGATTAGTAGCATGAGGTTCAGGTAAGACTAGAGCAAATTGACACAAATTTTATTGAAATTTTAGGAAAACATCTCAATACATAATTACAATTGTCACGAATAGAATCAGTGGTATTCATTAATTTCACTGATAAAATGTACGCTGTTCTTAAGGCACTATTTAAAGCATATAACTGCAATGAGTTTGAAACATTTGTATAGACATCATAATTCATTATAACAATTTCATGGATTGCTCTCTAATGTTTAAACAAATTGATTCGATCCCTAAATTTCTTCTCGCAATTTTCGCAGGCCAAATTTTAATTATCTTTGTGGATTGTCAATTGGTGTTTGAACAAACTTGATTTTCGCCCAAATTTTTTCTCGCAATTGTCGCATGCGAAATCGTTGCGACCTTCGTGTACAATTCTTTGGTGTAAGAGCAAATAGGATTTTTGTCCAAATTTCTTCTCGCATTTTTCGCATGCAAAATCTTTCCGACCTTCGTGCACTGTCCTTTGGTGCAAGAACAAATTGGATTTTTGTCCAAATTTCTTCTCGCATTCTTCGCATGCAAAATCTTTCCGACCTTCGTGGACTAATTTTTGATGCCTGGTCAATATCGATTTTTCTCCAAATTTTTTATCGCAATGGTCACATGCGTAATCTCTGCGACCTTCATGTATTGTCCTTTGATGGGAAAGCAAATTCGATTTGTGTCCAAATTTTTGTTCGCACTTGTCGCATGCATAATCTCTCCGACCTTCATGAACTGTTTTTTGGTGTCTATTAAGCTGTCCTTTTTCTCCAAATTTCTGATCGCACCTGTCACAAGCAAAATCTTTCTGACTTTTGTGTACTATTTTTTGATGTAAGAGCAAATGGGATCTTTGTCCAAATTTTTTCTCGCAGTTATCGCATTTGTAATCTTTGCGACCTTCGTGTACTATTTTTTGATGTTTTATCAAATTGCTTTGAGCTCCAAATGTCTTTTCACATTTGTCACATGCGTAAGCTTTGTGACTTTCGTGCACGATTCTTTGGTGCAAGAACAAATCGTATTTCTGTCTAAATTTCTTCTCGCAATTGTCGCATGCGAAATCTTTGCGACCCTCGTGTATCGTCCTTTGATGCCTCAATAATTCTGTGTTTCTTCCAAATTTCTTCTCACAATTATTACATGAGTAATTTTTTGAGGCTTTGGAGGCTAAATCTTTTCGGCCGTCGTGTACTATCTGAATGTGCATGTGCAAAATATGTTTATTTCCGAATCTTTTCGCGCACCTTTCACATAAGTAATTTTTCAAAACTTCGTGAAATATTTTGTTGTGCTTGAGTAAAGTTGCTTTGTTTTCAAATTTCCTCTTGCACTTGTTGCATGTGAAATTTTTGCGACTTTTGTGTACTAATTTTTGGTGTATAAACAAACTCGATTTTTTCTCAAATTTCTTCTCGCAGCTGTCGCATGAAAAATCATTGCAACCTTTGTGTGCCGATATTTGGTGTCTGCTCAAATGACTTCGGAACTCGAATTTTTCTTTGCACTTATCGCATTCGTAATCTTTTCGTTCATTGTGAAATGTGTCTCTGTGTGTTATCATGCTTGATTCCAGCGTAAATGTCTTCTGATAGATATCACAAACGTATTTTTTTGATGTTTGAAATGTCGTTAACAATGTTTTGTTTACTTAAATTATTTGCTGTGACAACTTCCTCGCTTATATCCAGTTCAGTGCTTAGATTAAATGATGAATGAGTATTCAGTGCCACAAAAATTGAGTTAATGAAATTAATATTCAAACTAATTTGTTTTTACTATAAACATGATCAGTGTGCCGATTATGATCATTATATTATTTACAATTAAGGTACCAGTTTCATTGTTTATACATTGCTCTTACAACACTTAAAACAATTGACAATTTTAATTTGGGGACGATTCCTTGGAGGAGTTTTCTGTCCTTCTAAAACTAAATACTTCCAAACAAAATCAGATATTTATTATTAGATATTTATTATTAGAACAAAATTAGATATTTATTCAAAAATTCTCTATTCCCACGATGTGGGATGATTCAGTGGCATAAAAATCACGTTTTACGCAAAAAATGTTGAAAAATATAGTATGCACTTGATGCTATTACTAAAAAAAAACTTTGAATTTTCAAAGTAATTCAAAGAGAGTTATCTGAATAAGATCAATGCTTTCTCATTTCTTTATACAGAAGATTATTGTAAAGAAAATAGCATACATTTAGAAGTAATCCGAAGAAGCAATTATAATCTAAGCTGATTAATGAATTCAATTTTTTTCAAATGATTGAATAGTATGGCAAATATTTGAATAGTATGGCAAATCTATACAACATTTTAATAACACTAAACATAAAAATAACAGTATACGTCTTGGTGTCATCTTAAACGTAGCTGACCCTAATGTTACACGGACGGAGCTGACTTCCGGCGCTGACATTGATTTTAACATGTGCTCTCATGGAAATTAACTAACAGAACACTACACTGAAAACCCAAAAATATAAAAGTTTCTGTGGAATAGTGATACTTGCACAGTTAACACTATTCATACGTGTTACGAGCACAGATTACACTTTTTGTAAAATTGCCGCAGCTGAAAAAGTGTAAGAAGCACAATTTATCTTTTTTTTGGTTATCATAGATATTCGCTGAAAAAGTGAAGCTTTTGCATCTTATAATTTTTTTTTTTATAACGATTTTCCAAAAAGTGTTATCTGCGCTCGAAACACTTTTGAATAGTGTACAGTACACAAGTATCATTTGTGACGTTCAGTAATGCCTGCTCAATTTTTATTTACATCAAAGAAAATAATATCAAAATTGATCATAATCATAATCGATCGATATTATCCCAGTTACCCACATCAAATTCATATCGATCCTAGATCATAGACTTTCTAAGTTACCGACCCAATTAAAATAATCTCACATTAATGAATAATAAATTAATTTGCCTTATTCATAACGATTCTAAAGTTGTACTGTGCTTTCCATTACTTTTTATTGTATTTTACAACTAAATAATGTAAATTAAAAACAAAAGAGCACAGGAAATAACTACACTTAGCGACTCAAAATGACAACAAAAACAATATTATGTAAACATCGAAGCAAAATGCAAGAAAATTAAGCAATAATAATTACCACTGTAAAGTATATATAGCATAATGAACACTGTAACAATTTCAAGTCTGATCGAATCTAATCGTGGAGCATACGTAAGCATAGGAGATTCATACGTCACGACAGTTTTCAAGACACGTACACTAAAGATTTCAAATACACACCACACACACACACACACACACACTCACTCACTCACGGTCACGCTACATGTGCGGCCCCGCCTTCGAGCAAAAACAAAAAGGACTCCTAAACTATTTGGGATAACATCCATGGTCTAAACATTAATTTTATAACAATAATCCATTGAAACACACTATTCCAAAAAAACTTTTACACTCTTGACTATAGTGACGGTTTATGAACTATATTGTTATGATTGGAAGTTGGAGGCGCCACGGGTTACGCGCATAGTCAATGGATCATAGACGAGTACACATGCATATGGTCAGTACACATTGCGACGCCGCAGCGTGAACAGTTCTGAAAGATCGTGCGTCAACCGAAGTAAGTGCTTTTCGTGAATTAGTGCGACAAACGATGAACGTGTACAAAAACGAATTTGTGGGTTGTCATCTCCACCAACAAAAGTTTGACAGTTTGAGGAGTATACGTGAAAAGGTTAATTGGGACGTTGAAGAGGAACGACAGGATTTTCTCTGTCAACTTAACCTCTTATTCAGCGATTGGAAGTGCCAATATCAGTCCGAAGAAATCGACTGGCTTCTCACGGAATCTATCACTTTTCGTGACGAAGAGGATTACAATCGTTCAGGAGAACTAATCATTAAATTCGTGGCTAAAAGCGGCTACAAATATCAGCCTAAAATTGAGCAAGACGGTAAGCCACGTGTGCGTCGAACTACAGCACTGCATCATGTGGCTAGGAGCGGATTTCTTAATAAGGACATCATGGTCCGTGAGCTTTTTAAAATTTACAATAATTTCGACGTTAATTACACCGACTCGTCTGGCCTGACTCATTTCCATGTGGCCTGCGCTATCGGCTGCGATGATGTCGTCGAGAAATTTCTCGAGCTCGGCCAGGATCCCAATCTGCTTGTGCATGAGACAGGCTATTCTGCGCTACACTTCGCTTTGGCCTATGACAGAAGTGAAGTGGCACGATTGCTGCTCAATAGTGGCGCCGACCCGAACTTGGCCAATCCAGAGGGATCGACTGCTTTGCACCTCATATGCAAGATGAATAGTCCTAATAACTTAATGAGGCTGCTGTTCGAGATCAGCGATAAAAAAAGTCAACCGTTGTCGCTCGACGCTCGGGACAAGGAGGGTAAAACAGCTCTGCACTTGGCTTTGGAGAACGGACACAGGGAAGTGGCACGATTGCTGCTTGAAAGAGGCGCCGCCCCCAACTTGGCCAATCCAGAGGGATCGACTGCTTTGCACCTCATATGCAAGATGGATCGCCCTAAGGCCTTAATGAAATTGCTGTTCCAGATCAGCGATGCAAAAAGTCAACCGTTGCCGCTTGACGCCCAAGACATGGAGGGTGAAACTGCGCTACACTTAGCTCTTGAGAACGGACTTAAGGATGTCGCCGAATGGTTGCTGAGAAAAGGCGCCGATTCGAACTTGGCCGACAAAGAGGGATCGACAGCTCTGCATATCATTTGTCAGAATTTCGAATACCAATACTTGGCGGAGATGATATTCGATATCAGCGACGAAAATCATCGACATGTGCGAATCGATGCACAGGACAAAAACCATTTGTGCACACCATTGCACTGGGCTCTGTACCTCTGGGATGAACCAGCTGCACGATTGCTGCTGAGAAGAGGTGCCAATCCAAATTTGGCCGACAACAAGGGATCGACAGCTCTGCATATCATTTGCAAGATAAGATTTAATGACTTGGCGAATCTGCTATTCCAGGTCAGCGACGAAAAACGTCGACGTGTGCTAGTCGATGCACAGGACAATGAGGGTAACACACCATTGCACTTGGCTCTGGAGCAAATGGACACAGAAATGGTAGGATTGCTGCTGAGAAGAGGGGCCAATCCAACATTAGCCAATAAGGATGGACAGATACCCCTGCACATCGCTTGCGAGGTATTCAACGACGATGAATCGCTCAGGATGTTATTCGAGCTTAGCAACGACAAATACCATTCGGTACAGTTAAACGCCAAGGGCAAATGGGGTAAGACACCGCTGCATTTGGTTCTGTATAACAAAAACAAGGAAGCGGCTGAATTCCTGCTGAGACGAGGTGGGGATCCAGATTTGACTGACAATTTCGGAAAGACGGCTTTGCACGTTATGTCCCACAGTTTCCACAACGAAGATCTGGTGGAGATATTCTTCAAGGTAAGCGACGAGCTAAATCAGCAGTTGCAGATCGATGCCCGAAATTCTAACGGCAAGACACCGTTGTACTTGGCTCTTAAGCGGGGCAACAAGAAGATGATCGAGCAGCTTATGAGACGCGGCGCCGACCCGAATCTGGCCAAGAAGCATGATAACTCGACTCCACTGCACTTCATCTGCTCGATGGCCTCCGGCAACGACGTGGCGGGGGTATTCTTAAAGATAATGAACGAAGATAGACGTGAAACGGTGCTGATCGATGCGAGGGACGGGAAAGGTCGGACCCCACTGCAATATGCCGTAGCGAGATTATTGCCGAATACCGTCGATGTTCTACTGGATCACGGCGCCGATTTGTCTAACTTCGTTTTCCCAAACGAGACTATCTTCCACTTCGGCGTTGAATTTACAGTTGACACAAACATAAGAATTACGTCTGGCATATTGGCCGTCGTCGAGCGCCTCGAGACCAGAGGATACGAGCTGAACCAATCGGATGCCCTGACGATCATGAAACTGTTTGCCAAGCACAAATTGTTCGTCAAGCCGGCAGATCTCGAAAAGCCCAATTGGCACGACAACGTGAGGCTCGTCAGAACAGCCAAAGAGACGATGATAATTCCGAGTCTGTCGCTCTACGAATTGCTCCAGTTGCAACCTAAGGAGCTGGCGAAACGAATCACCTTCGAGGAATACTTCGAGTTCGCCCGCCGCTGGAAAAAATTGATGACGCTCCGCAAAGAAGGGTTTGAGGCGTGTGTCGTCGCGCATCTGTGCGAGAAATTATCCAGAAGATTTTTCCAGAGCTATGCGTTGTACCCCTTTTGGGATCTGATACATAAGCGGCTGCCGCTTGAGTGTTGTGACATGATCCTCAACAATCTAATGAACAAAGACTTGTATCACATTTTCGTGACTGCTGGCGAGTGAAGCTCGTGATGGGTAGAAGCATAATTTGTGTATATTTTCATGTTCGTTGTTAAATATTGCACTTTTATTATAAAATTCAAATAAAGAAACTAAAAAAAAACGTTTTGAATTTATTAATTTCACAAAACTCGGCCTATAAAGGAAACTTTTCTAAAGATTTTAATTCCGTTTAGGGATCCTCACATAACTAACTCTGATCTGAACACGTGCCCGGAGGCTTTCTTTTTCCACAGCATAGGCCTGTATATTATTTTTCATACCCCGTAGCCCGAAAATAGCTTTTCCCGTTTCGCGAGCGGTCGGAAAATAGTCACTTTCGGGCTTCTATAGTATGAAAAAATAAGTAATATTTTTTTGTTATAACTCCGCTATCGGCGTATGTTACACCATTACATAATTGTTTATGAACTGGGATATAAATAAGTGGGAATATTACAGGCCGTGTAACGTCCAGAAGGGACTTAGTGTTGCAAACCGAAGGTTCGCGTGGCCTCGGATAACGATTTTAGCCTTTTCTCGTGCCACGTCCACGAGGAGACGAGACACAAGAGGTCGGCTGAGGACCGGCGACTTGCGAGCGACGTGTATTTGTATGGAGGAGGAACACGTTCGACCCGGCGAAACGATTACTCGTTCATCGCCAGGTCGGCAGTGAATGTATTAGGTTTATTATTACTTATTTAGCGTAGCATGTTTGTAGGTGGATAGCAAGAATTGAGAGAGAGTAGTTTTATATAAAGAAAATAGAGAGTTTATTTAAGACATTATACGTAGACTTACATTTTCGTTGATTAGTTGTACAAGCGAACTGGATGGCGGNTTTCGTCTTCTCGTATTTTTATGCATTTAATGTTCATTTTAACCGGAGTGTAATTAAAGTTCTAAAATTTTATTATTCATGCTGTTAATCATAAACGCGTTTAAACATTTATCTACTTTATGATTGCCTTTGTGACAATAAGCGCACTTGCTTCTGATAATGAGATTTCATTGCAACAAGTTGAATGTATTGAATTATGCATAATTATACAGTTCAAATTTATATATTAAATTAATCATGGTTATGATAAGCTAGTTTTGAATTCAGTTTTTTTTCACATGGTATTCATTAATCTTTGATATATAACCAAAAAAGTCGTGATTATTATTTGTCCTTCTTTCAATTATCTCTTGTACGTTTTTGCGATTGATTCCGAAACTCGGTTCTCTGATTCAAAGAGTTAGAGATGAAAATTTGCAATAACATTTTATTAAATATTTTGGTACTTGATTTTCCAATAATAATTTGAACTCTCAATTTCTCTAGAGCATAATACCTTTTCAGTAGGATATTTTTGATTGATTCTACACTCTCCAAGTGACAGCGATTTTTATTTATTTTTATTATTTATTTTGAATTCTTAGTTAGGTGAAAGATTTTTCTTGGATGACAATAGCTTAACTTGAGAAATTCTTTTATCGTTGAGACGAATATCGTGCAAAAAAAAAATTATTTAAAATTCAATTAGGTAACCGTGATAGAAAAAAGGTGAATAGGAATTGTGATTTATCCGGAATAGTTTTCAATTATTTTTTTCATTTTTATTGGTATTTGAAAGCGAAGTTATTCGGTTCATTAGCGCGAGAAAGTATCTAATTATTCATCATGTATCATATTGGTTATAACAGTTTCCGATTTTTATTTGGTTTGAACTGAAAAGTGTTTTGTTAACTTAATTATTGACTGGTTTACTGTTGACGTTTTTTATAGTACAATTGTCTCACAAGGGACAAATATCTTTGTGATCACGTTCATTATTTAAGTAATTTTATTCCTTTGAAAATTTGCCAATTCTATAACATAAATAATATATTAATATTCATTTATAATTAAAATTCAAAACGCAAATTAGGATGTAAATTTCAAAGTTTAGAGTCGTTTGCGAATGTGTTTATTTTAATGTTTAAGTTTAGTGTTCAAGAAATGAAATTCTATGGTTCTTTACGTATTACTCTTTCGATAGTTTGGCGTCGAGGAAAATTCATTAAGTGCTTGTGTTCAGTTTATTTTTGATTTTTACTTCGAAAATTTATTTTCTTTAGAACTGGGTTTAGCTCGTTTTATCCGAAAGTGTTCGAGACTTTTATCTAGTTGTGTGACACTTAAAGGTTAATACACTCTTTCGATCTTTAAATCGTGTCATAATGTACTGAAATTATTAATATACGAAATACCAATAATAGATTGTTTATTTCATCTCAAGCAACTTCGGTTTTATTGAATATTTTATTTTGTTCATCTTTTATGGGTGTCAGTTCTTAATCAAGTTTTAGTAAATTTATTAACTTTTCATTTTCTTTTTATATAGATTCACGTACTATGTAATTGATGATACCGTTGTTATTAGCTGTAATGATTGTTAAACATTTGTGTAATATTTTCGTTTTTCCTCTTAATCGAACTTTGAAATTTCATCATTATTGCATAGGTTTTGTGAGTATTAATGAGTCATGTATAATTGAAGTCATAATTGCATAATTATCTTGTTAGTCAAACAGAGGGTGGCTGATAGAAGACAGGCGAAGAAAAATAAAGAGAGCGTGTACTTAGGTGTATTTGAATGTGGTGTAATCTATTTAGAGGTACGATACCGATTCGTTCAAGAGGTGGTCCTAGTTGCCATTGTACTTTAAACGCGATTTATGTTGGTCTGCTCCCTTGAACGAGTGTGATTTTACGTTTTTTGTTTTGTCTTTTGTCTTATTTTACAATTCCGAAGCACGTGACCGTGATTTTTACAATAATTGCAGATAACATGATCAAGACATCGGTCCGTTGTGTGATTAGACTTGCCGCATTTGGTGCACACCGATTGAATATGATTAAAGCGGCCTACAGACGGTTTAGTCTGTTCTCGTAGCTGGTTAAATGCGTGATTATAACACCTATCTATCACAAATCCGGGATTTTTACAATAATCACACATGATGTGCGTTGTTTGGTTGTTACCATTAGTGGCCTGAAAGGCTGGGTTCGTTGGCAATAATGCGTGAACTCTTTTTACGCGACAATCTTCAGTGGAGTGGCCTATACCGTCGCATTTATCGCACTGTTTCTCTAGCTTACGCCTTATCTGTTTTTTCACTTCAAGTTCTTTTTCGATTCTAATTGCATCTCTCACTAAGGCGTCAATATCAGTACTATTGATTAATCTCACAGAAATGGTATCAAGCAACCCTTTTTTCAAAGACTCTACTTGGGTCGCTCTAACGTCTTCCTCAAAATCTTTACTCGCAGGTGTCGAGCTTCCTTTTACTTGCAATATTTGGGCGCCAAGAGCGCGGATCTTATTTGAAAAAGTGAGTACACTCTCGCCTTCCTTTTGAAATTGATGAGCTAGTACACCTTGAAGCGAACCAACAGATAAGCCAGTAGGGTATAAGTATCTAAGTTGTCTTTTAAGTTCCTCCACCGTAACAATTACTTTATTTTTTAAAGCCTTTCTAGCTTCGGGGCCTATTTTTGTTTGGGCTATTTTTGCAAAGGACTTTTGCTCTTTAGGGTCTATAAGGCTATACGCGAAGTCAATCGACTCAAGGAATTCTTCTAACCCGGTTGTATTTCCATCGAAGACGGATACAGTAGCGAGAGCATCTTTCAATTTTACGTAATTATCCGTCATTGTTGCTCGGTTCTTAGCGATAGGAGTGGTGGGAAACGTTTGAACAACAGGAACAGTTGGGGTGTTGGGACGTGTAGGAATAACGGGGCTCTTCTCCGTAACGGAAGAGACTAGGTTTTGTTGATGAATGCGTATTGACTTTTTGTGTTGTGGAAATTAATGAATTAGTTTCAGAGGCTAATACTCGAGATTCCTTTGTCTTTTTCCTCGTCAGATGACTTTGATTTTACTGTATCTTCTAATTCGGTAAGGTTAATCTACTACTTTACCATGACACAAGTACACAAAGAGATTTCAAGGTGTGTATCCTGAAAAACAGTTTACTTGTAAAAATCATAATTATTTGTATTTAATGTTTATCTCTTCGTCTAATAAGGTTAATGAATTCTAGTTTCCAGAGTATCGTTATTGTAAAACCAGATTTTGAAAGTACGTAATGTTTATTCGTTATAAATAGATAATAATTAATTCATCGCTTGCTAGTGTGTAATTGAAACATAAATAAAGATTAACTGGCTCTTTTCGGCCTGGAGTGACTTTGACTCCGAAAATAAAGATTAACTGGCTCTTTTCGGCCTGGAGTGACGTTGACTCCGAAAATAAAGATTAACTGGCTCTTTTCGGCCTGGAGTGACGTTGACTCCGAAAATAAACATATCGATCTGTATTCTTTAGAAACGTTTTTTTTTTTATGATTGTACTCGAGTTTTTCTGATAATCATTCCAACTCGGATAGGCAATTTTGTTCGCTTGGTGATCAGTCAAGTCGTTCAAAACGGAAAATATCACTTTTCGTTTATCCAAAAATTGGTGTCGACCCCAATTATAGTAGAAATGATTAACAATTGATGCTACAAAGTATGAGAATACTTTGGTTCGCCTCGTCAGGGATATATGGCCTCAGGCCGTCAGTGAAAAATTATATGTGGTCTCAGACCGTCAGTGAAAAATTATATGTGGTCTCAGACCGTCAGTGAAAAATTATATGTGGCTCCGTGTGGCCCAATAGTATGGCTCTGTGGCCCAGTAGATATGTGGCTATTTCCGCCCGAAAGTATGTTACTTTCGATTAAATAATATGGCTCTTTGGTCCAAAGTGTGTATTCTGCGTTATGGTTCACGCGCGCGTGTCCAGAGATCGACCATTTCCTGAGATAGGCATTTCGTCCGCACGCGCTTCCTTCCTGAGAAAGTCACGGCAGTCAAAAGGAAAGATTCCTCTTTCGGTTATCTCCAATATCAGGGCCCTGAATATTAAAAATGGCCAATGTCCGGGTTCAAAGCATGAGTGTAGCTTTGAACGTATTTTGTAGAGAGTGTAAGTAAAGTTATACATTT